AAGGAGCCTAGTATACCTAACAACTAGGTTATTAGTGTCTCTAACAACAGCTAGACTAATAATAAGCTTAGAGTTAAGTGGTTAAAGCACTTTAATAAGCATATAAAGGCGCGCACTGTTAGTAGCTACTAACTGCTTGTTCTAGACGGCCATAAGAGCCACAACTCAGTCAAATTCCACTAGTACTGTGAGGAGCACAAGATTATTACTCTATGTATGCCCCCACACTTATCCTATCTGCTACAGCCGCTTGACGTGGGTTGTTTCTCCCTATTAAAGAAGGCCTATGGCCGCCAAGCTGAGCAGCTGATGCGGAGCAAGATCACTCGCATCACCAAACTTGAGTTCTTGCCATGCTTTAAAGCTGCTTTTGATGCTTCAATTACTAAGAGCAACATCTAGGGAGGATTTAGAGGCGCTGGCCTAGTCCTGTTTAACCTAGAGGCTGTGATATTAAAGCTTGAAGTACAGCTACGCACGCTAACGCCACCTATTGTAGACAACAGCACGTGGGAGTCTAAGACACTAAGCAACACCCTAGAATTTAGGTCTTAATTAAAGCTAATTTAAGAGAGGATCTAGAGACATGCTGATAGCTTACTAACATTAATAGTTGACGCCCTTAATTAGCTTACTAAAGGCGCAGAGCTGATGGCGCATTTACTAGTTTTAGTGCGCAGCTAGGTTGCTAACCTTTAGGTAGCTAACAAGGCTGCTACACGCTGTAAACCACACAAAAGAAAGCAATTACAGCGAGATAGGGTATTAACCTTTGCTAAGGGAGTGTAGCTAACTACTCTAAAGGAGTTTGAGGCCTGTAGTGATGGGAAGAAGGCAAAGAAGAGAGGAGGCGCTAATAGCAGCACTCAGTCATTAAGACACTGTAGCATGTGTGGTGTAACAACGCTCTACGAACAGTGACCTGATACCACTAGGATACGGTTCTAGCGACTCATGACCATGGCCCTTGTCGCATGGCATGAGCTCACACCAAACTGCCACCAAACCCTTATATATAAGGAGCAAGGAACTGTAGCATTGTAGAGTAGTTTTTCTGTATCCTTTTGTACAAGACCTATAGGTGTAGAGAATATATCCTGGTGTTCTTATCATCCCAGCACTCCCATATGCCTCGTAGCGGATTCACACCTATTCCGGATATCTCTCTTCTTGCCTGCGTCGTTACATGTGGCAATGCAGGGCACAACAGGACAACGTGTAAGAAAGATGCGTAAAGTACTATAGATTAGTGCAATATACTGTGTAGTACATGATATTGTTGTTGTGTGCTGTAATGTTGTAAAGTAGTTGTAGTGTTGGTGTAGTCTTGGCAAAAGTGAGCCACTCGCTTGTGTGAGCCACTCGCTTGTGGAGTACGTTATGCTATTCCCTTACACAGAAAAACTTGTAAATTACTAGAGCAGCCCAACTGCTCTCGTCCTATATAGTCTTAGACTCACACAGGACGTTAATTAATCAATCAATCAATCAATCAATCAATCAATCAACACAACTCCAGTACAATCCTTCAATTCTATGCGCACTGCACACTCACTGCGACGAATGTTCGTCTACCACCCTGCGAATATCATTCGCTATGCAATATAATACGGCTTGTTCAAAATATAGCCAGATCAGCCCTTCATAGCCTGTGGCTTTCAAGCTGCTCTGCAATCGTATAGAAAATGGACCCGTCGAAGACACTTCGTATTTCCCTTTTGGTCATGACCCCGTCTTCTGGCCATAGCAAGATGTACATCGCGACCCCTGATTGTTATCAGTCCGTGTAGCACACGTTGATGATGTGTGGTATGCTTACATTCCAAACCACCAGCAAACCAACCGTAGAAGTCGAGTCCGCAGCGCTGATTTCGCCACACGTTGTAGGTGCTCCACATGGTCAAGTAGTCCTTGCCTCGTGCGTATTTTTGGAAGATAGCCTCAAATCGCCGCTCATCTAACTCTCCATCCATGTCGTAAGTACCGGTACTACTGCCATGTCTGTTCGAGTTGATGTTGTTCAAATTGATGGCGAAGAGGGGGTGCGGTACATAGCTCGTGTGGGTGTTGTAGGATGCGCATATAGGCATTGTGACAGCAGCCCACAAACAGAGGCTGAAGTGGAAACCTAGCTTTTTGAAGCCTCTGTAAATGTCCCACGGATAGATCAGGCCGTCACCATCAGTGTCCCAGAAGTCACAATGACGTTGAAGTGCGGTGCGGCCGTTGCCTCCTAGGATATGGTTTCCTTTGTCTCTTCTCAACGTCATCGAATCATGAGTGGTATGTCTCTCGAATCCCAACGGGGCCCTGCAGGATCCCGTTGTTTCGTGTCTCGAGACCAGCCATCGTGCTCGGCCAACTAGCCCATCGACCCCAGCTAGATCCCCAACACCAGCAATCCACCGAGGATAACCGGGAGATTCTTCACCAAATAATGTCAGATTAGATGTGGACTCAGAGATTCGCCGCAAATCGAGGTTACTGGGGTCTTTCTCCTGCTCAGCGTTGTCTACCGAATTGGTGCCCTTTAGGTCGAAGGATATCCTGAAGTTGGAGAGTAGGTTGATAGAGATCATCATTGCGCATGTGAAGGCTCAATGCGAGGAGTGAAGATGTAAGACCACAAGATTTTGAATCTGCCTGTTTGTTTATACCAGTCAACGCATTACAGCTTTCTGACGTAGGTCTTGGCGACGCGCTCCTCATGGACACAAGCTTATGGACCTTGTTTCAAGTAGGTATCCGCCTTGACCCTCTGTCTATTTCCGTAGATAGCTAACCATACGCTGACGCACATGTCGATGCCTGAGTGTATTGTAGCTATAGATGGAGCTCGCCTTACAAAGGATCAGTCCATGGCGGACGCGCAGAGCGGACGAGCTGGCAAATCAATTGCGTCGACCTGTTGCTCAGACTCTGTGCATGCTGGCGATGAGCGTAGCAAGTGCGCGTGTAGCTCTTGTCAAATTGTCCTCCTGTGAAGTCTGGTGCTCAGGAAAGCGTATAAGAGCGATGCTGCTTGTGGTTACGTATTGTGATGCGAATGAGAGCCTTGCGAGAATCGGGCACCGATGGTGTGATACTCACCGATATGTAGAGATTGCATCAGGAGCGAGATGGCTTTAGCTGTGCCTTTTCAGCGTTGTTGATAACTGCAGAAGTACTGTGTCACCAAAGGCGGCCAGCGGTGCGGGCTCAATCCGACTGCCAGTGCAGATTCGATGAGGGGCTTCGCAACCCCACTTCGGAATCGAAGTCGTGGGTTTATAATTAAGGCGACAAAGGCGCTGTTCTGTTCAAAAACACCCACACACTCTGTATGTAAGCTTCAAATGATTTGATTTGTCATCAAATACTGCATCCTGATTCAGGTCTATTAGTGTAAGTCTTCCCCAGACTGAGTCACTCTCGTTGTACGCTAAACGACCACTAGGTAGTGGTTATCACTCCGGATTTTGACTCGTAATCGAAACCTTCCGGCAACCCCTGTTCGAATCTGGGATAGACCTTCTTTTGCAGATGTCATAGCCTCAGGCTTCGCACGATAATATAGTGCCTGCTATGCGATTTTTGCTCTGGACGAGGTGCAAAAGGTGCATACGCTACTCACGTTGCCGTGTGCACCTGGTCAGCACAGTACAACATCCCAGAAGAACCCTTAAGTTCAGCGATATTTTAGGTTGTCTACGCACTACACAAGCAACACGAAAAGCAATCTCTACGAGTCCTTCTGTGCTGCCAGCCAAAGACTTGCAGCCACAAGGACACCCATTAGGCCAATCAAGATCAACATTGCGGCGTATGACACCAGCTGTGGACGTTCCTGCTTCTTCAGCGTGTCGTTGATCTCCACCTCAAGCCTCTCAGCCATCTTCTCTTTCGAAAATTCAGCAATAACACGTTCCTTGCCCCACTTGCCCATCTCCTTTAGTCTCTGTTCGCCTTCTCCATCTTCCAATGCGACGCGCATTACCTCTGTCCAGTCGTTGACGTTGCTCACGTCTCTGAGCCAACCTGTTTGTCCACTTATAACTGTCTCCGTCGGCCCGCCTTCGTTTGCAGCGAGAACTGGAGTGCCGGCAAGCATCGCCTCCAACGGAACAATGCCAAAGTGTTCGTTGCGAGGCGTATACACCAGGAGGCGAGATGTTGAAAGAAGAGTAGACTTCAAGGCGTTCGGCACCGAGTGCAAGAAGATGACGGGGATTTCGTCAGGTATAGCTTGCGCAGTGACGACATTCTTCGCAGTCGCGTGCGCCAGATGTAAAGAATCGGCCAGATCGCAAAGTTCGTTGTAGGTGGACACATTCTCTGCCACTCGCGGATCATATCCACCTGCAACGACAAGACGCGCATCCCGGCGTTCGGCGGGTGACAAACCTGCAAATGCCTTCACTGCCAAAGCCACGTCCTTCTTCTTCTCGAACCTGTTAATGCTCAGGAGCACCTTCTTATCCTTCCACAGGGGAGTGGTCTCGTCGAGGTGGCTACCTTCGCTCGTATCAACACATGGGTATATCACCCCAGGCTTTCGATGTTGCAAGCCAGGGAAAGCTCCGGCAAAGACGCTCTTGGTGAATTTGCTGTTGACAACTATGGTGTCGCTGCATCCTGTGCTCCAACTTTCTAGCCAATCAAAGGGTATCCGGTACAACGACTTGAGAGGGCTGCCCTTCTTGGCGAGCAGCTTGTCAGGAAAATGGCAGTAGAATATGACTCGCGGCCGAGGCTGCAGCAGGCGCAGCAGAGGGATACCGGCGCTGAGTTGGTCGACGAAGAAGGACGTGGGCGTAAGCTTTGCGAGCTCTTCGGAGAACAGGGCAATCTGCAGGACGAGGTGTACCTGTCGCAAGATGGCGCACAGGATAGCGAAGCGTCCGAGGAAGGTTTGCGGGATGAGCGTGGCGCCGCGCACGCGAACGTCAAGGGTTCCTTTACAGTGAAGGTCAAGTCTCAGCTACCTTCTCACATATGAGTATGGGAGGGAGGGCGCCGCAGAGGGGATCTGCTTACCATCACGCGCTTCATCGAAACAGTGGTCGGGGTCGCGGTGGGATGTGAATATAGTGACTTTGTGTCCACGAGTTTGCAATCCTACTGCAGCGTCGATGACGAGCCGCTCGGCTCCGCCAATTCCCAGGTCCGGGTGAAAGAAGACGATGTGCTCACGCTTCTCGTCCATATTGGGTCGGTGTTCCTGAAATTGTGATCGAAGCTCTCTGGGCTGGCTCCCCACCAAGCTGACGCGTTGCAACTGCACTAGCCATCTTCAGCATAGGGGCTTTTGCTCCTGCGGATCCCTGCAGCTCAGTGACGCTCAGCTGCTCGCCGTCTCACTTCATCAAGATATCCCCGTACAAATATCTACGCGTCAACCTATCATCGATTTGCGCAGTCCCTGATCTTGCACCGTGCATGGAAGCGATATCTGCATAGATGACTGCGACATGACGGTGTACATCGATTACTGCCAAAATGTCAAAAGCGAAACACACCAAGGTGCAGAAGATATGCACACTCTGGACTCATGACGAGAACTTTTCCCGCGATGACATTGTCTTCAACAGCGACAAATTTCCAGAGCTTCCAAACACACCAGGAACATTGCTACAGATAGTAGCTGCCATCAACACTGGAACGGCTGTGCGAGACTTCTCATCAAGCGCTAAAGCTCACGATTCACCTCAAGCCAAGGCAGAGACTCCGTTGAAAGATGCCACCGATTCCCAGTCACGCAAGAGTCGGAGAGGGTCGTTCTCGCGAACTATCGATGAGAATGGATCTGCTGGCCACGATGTGGACTCGGAGAAGACCTACATCTTCGCGGCGATGCCACTTCCACAGGATCTCAAAGCGAAGCATGCATATCTCCAGGTTTCGATCGCCGAGAAGATCGCCAAAGTCTTTGGCTTTCGGAATCGCATGCAGGTCATCATCACGGAGGTGTGAAGCTCGATTTCCAAGCAACAGCATAGGCTGACCTTGACAGGCCGATGAAGCTAGACATGAAGCCCATCATGTCGAGCTTGTCTTCCGCGATGAATACCTTGCGCGAGCAGACATGTGGCGTATGGCCATAGCGGAACTCAGCAAGCGAACTGTTTATCGTGGCCAGAAAATTCTGTTCATGGGAACCATCAAAGCGACCGTAAAGCAAATCTACATCGACGGACAATCTGTGAATTCTGGATACTTCTCGCCAGCTACCAAGCCGATCTTCCGTAGTGAGTCTGCCCGTTATGTCCTGTTCATCCAAATGTCACGAGAGATGTGGGACTTCGACGCCGAGGGCGCCGGCGAGATCATGTTCAACAAAGTCGTCAGCGGCTTCCTTCCCGATTTGTTCAAAAGGTGGCTCAAGATCAATGCAAAACACGTGGTCACGATCATCCTTTTTACGCGCATGCAATATGATGGGGAAACCTCAGTCGATTGCCGCGATCACAAAACCAGCCAACATGATGCAGAAGCGAATGCAGGCACCTTCAGGGACTACTATAGAGTCGTTGTCAGTGATATCGCTAGTGGAGATTGGATCAAGATCTTGCATCAGTTAAAGCTCGAGTTCCGAACATTCCTTCGGGAAGTGTCACTGATAGCCAAGCCTACCGCAGAGGGAGTTGCTGCGTCGGGCGATCGGAATGAGACTCCAGGAACCGATGAAAACACCATCATTGCTGGCAGGCCATCGTCGGCGAGTCAAGGAAACATACTGGAGGCAATCAACCTAGCCGCTGCACAGTTTGCGCAAGACCATATTGACCGTGACCTGGTTCGGACTGGGATCTCGGTGATTGTGATCACGCCCGGAACCGGAGTGTTTGAAGTCGATTACAACATGTTGAAATTGACAACAGACACATTGATTGGTTCTGGTATTGGCATCGATCTGGTGTGCCTGTCGCCTATGCCTCTTCACTCAGTGCCGCTCTTCAGATACCGGACTCCTTACATCGTATCGGATACCCTGAAAAGTCAGGGAGAAGGCAGCTACTGCTCGACTGGAGTGGCGAGTGAGGTTGATGAGAAAACCCCAAAGCAACAGGAGCCCAACTTCGGCTCCATATCTCGGACCGATCTTGTAACTACTCCCCCTGGTATCACAAGCCCGACGACTATAAGGCCAGCAAATAATGTTGGATGGAAGTTTGCAATGCCGTACTGGGTAGATGTATCCTTTTGGTCAAGACCTTCGGACGACGTGCTCGAATTGACGAAATGGAGAACAGCAGACAGGGTCATGAAACGCTCCCACAAGAAACGCCGAACATTTGCCCTCAGATGCAGACTGTACGAGCTGCAGATGATGGGTGTCATCGAAAACGAGCTCGGAGATATCTCATTGCCCTACTTGGAGGAAGACGATCGCAATACACGTATCTCTGAACAGCCTGCACACGACAGGGACCACTCCAGAAATATAACCCTACATGTTGCTAGCAGTAATGTTGGATCTTTTTCATCAAAAGGCGATCGGGACGTTCCCGACCCAAGAAAGGCTATGTACAAGACATGGATGGAAGACTACGATAGTGCGATCTTCGCTCCCGCAAACGAACCATCTTCCCAGGATCGGCAACCCAGCGGGAAAGAGAGAATACAAGAAGACCCACAACCCAATGCGTCGTCTGGACCACTGAAGGATTCTTTCTTGTCAAGCTCATATCGTAGTAGCCGAACAGCGATGGACAGGAATCCTCGATTGTCTCCGGACATGACCAAACACCAGGCCCCGTCCGCCAGAGCCAAAGTTACAGAGGAGCAATCCCCTCGTGGTAGCTCTCACCGTTTTCCAGAAAATGACCCGTTGGGTATACCGCGGGCTGACGTGCGACGGCGGCAAAACCTCTTAGGAAACACAACAATTGAGTCATCTCGCCTCATTGTGCATCGTCGAGGTCCATCTGGCGATTCTAGTGTCAACGAAAGATCGACCCACACCACACCAAACCGTTCGCCCGCGCCTAGTCGGGGGCACTCTCCACCAAGAAGAGCCGGCCTGTCTCCAATGCCTGTCACTACTGGTCCAGCACCTGTGAGGGACCACCTCAAGTCTCGGCCATCGAATTGGTTTCTGAGGCAGATAAGCTTTGGTGGAAAGGCTGCTCCAACCAAAGCCACCTTAGGGGACGCTACAACGGACATCACACGAGGTAAAGTCAAGCCAGCTATGCTTACGGTCGAGAAAAGTCAGAAGGGTGAAATCGCAGCAAGACTAGCTAGCACCAGACTAGCCTCGTCCGAGAAGCCTTCTCAGCCAATTGCCATCAGGTCATCTTCTCGTGCTGGTCTTTCGTCGACTGGCTCGCCGCCTGTTGAACAGGGCGGTCGCTCCGTCGAGACCGTGCGGGACCTGCGGACACGGCGGACGTCGGTACCATCACACCCTAGCTCAGTCAAAAAAGACCCCGGATCGACTTTCCTTATTGCTGGCAAAGGAGACGCCAAGCCAAATTTGGATCTTTCCTCAAGCGGAGGAGCGAGAGATGCTCCCAAGACGCTATCGCCGACCAGTGCGATTGCGCCATGGGCCGTCCTGGTAAACCCTTGCAATCCAAATAAGAACGTGCTGAATACTTTGAACCAATATCGTCGATGGCATCATGTGTTCCCCAGGACCTTACGCACTGGCACCATGAAATGGAGGTCGCTCTGTTCGCCAGCTGCTGTGCCTTTGACGCATGAATGGTTTCCGACTGCAGCGCAGCTTTCAGCAGAATACAACGAAAGCCCATACAAGATCACTCAGAACGATGATGACGAGACTGTGGAATCCCCTAGGGGCAGAGAAACTCTGATTCGCGAGCTTGTAGCATTTCGCCTGTCACACGGTTTCCAGATCTGTACTGGCTCTGCAGTGGCAGAGTTTTCCGGCAGACAGGGAAAGTCACTAGCAAGTATTTTAGCTCCTGAGTATATGGCCTCGGATGGCGACACAGTCTTCATGACTGTGGGCACAAGCATCCACCAGCTGGTCTGCGTTGCCGGCGGCGAAGTAGAAGTCAAGAGATACCACCGGAAGCCTACTGCAGCATTGGAGCCACCTGCAGGTATCGATAAACCCTTCTCCTACAGACCGTACATCAGAACTGCTTTCGAGGAAACATATGACCCAAGGGACGTCATACTACGCCCGCCACGGAAGGAATCCAACTGGAACTTCATCGACACTTTTCTCGCTGGGTATCAAGATGAGTTTTCTGACGTTTTACGCTTTTGGCGAGCACGGTTTGTGCTGATTCCGGTCGAAATACCGTCGGTTAACCGGCGAGCGATGCCAATGCTTAGTGAAGATTCGGAGGAAGAGGTTCGCTTAGAGGGGATCAGGAAGCTCACGCAATTGTGGCAGAGGCACCGTTACTTCCCTCCAGAAGAGCGCTTTTCGCAGGGCACGTCTTCGTCTAAACAGAAAGACCCAAACCCCCTCGCCATCGAGTATCATACTCGTGATCCCTCAGCTGTGGTAGCTGCTGGTCCCGTGAACACACTCTACAATACTTCTGACAATGAGCTCTCGAGTGCAATAGTCTTAGATGCAGATAAGTACACCACCTCCAACATCGATCTCAAGCAGCTCGCCGAAGAACTTCAGGGCGATAAAGGCATCCAAATGCTTGATCGACGCTGGCACTGGAAGCTGCACTACAACTGCTTCATTGGCTTCGATCTTACGAACTGGCTCTTGAGCAATGTTAAAGATATCGATAGTCGTGAAAGCGCAGTCGACTTCGGCAATCAGCTGATGGAGCGGGGGCTATTTCAGCATGTGCAACGACGGCATCAATTCCGCGACGGCAATTTCTTCTTTCAAATCGCGCCTGAATATCGGGCTCCACGACCAGAATTGCGGGCTGGCTGGTTTGGTTTAAGGAAGGTCGACAAGTCTGTTCCCCTAACGCCGCTGCTTGAGGGACCAAGAACATCACCACTCACGACTAAAGGCATGATGTCCAGACCAGGTACGGCAGAGTCATCATCTTATGCTTCGGAATCGACAAAAGAGGGCGAAAAAACACCCACACGAAGTGCTGCAGCCAAGAAAAAGGTCACTCTGTCACGTGCCATGCGTTACGACGTCGACCCAAGAAAGCGCTCTTACCGTTCAGAAATCATTTCACTGCACTACGACCTTGTGCACAACCCAGACAACTGCTATCATATTCGTATTGACTGGATGAATGTCACGGCGAAGCTCATCGAAGACGCAGTTGTCAGTTGGGCCACTAGCGTCGAGAAGTACGGTCTCAAGCTCGTCGAGGTCCCAATCGCGGAGCTTGCCAATATCACCGACTACCACCCTTTCCGTTCACCATACCACATCAAGCTTGCAATGCAGCCACCTCAGAATCAAGTGGAAGCAATGTGGGACTCTCTGCATTTCTCGCCGCAATATTCGCGAACCGACAAGTTTGCATATCACAAGGCCTTGTTGAGGAAGCTCAATTTCGTTCTTGACATGGAAGCTGCGAGCGCTTTCGTTTCTGACACCGACGTTTCGTACTCGTGGGGCAATCCTGATTACAAGTACACGCAGTTCATTCACCGCACCGGCGGCATACTTGCTCAGATCACAGATGATGGCCACTTCATGATCCTTGCGAATCGTTTAGCGCACAGCCGTGCCAAAGATGTGAGCAGGATCCGTCCACTAGACCTCCACGAACACAAGAAGGTCACAAATGATGGCAGTCAAAGCAGCAGAATACCTTCAACACCTACAGTTGAGCGCGCAAATCCTCATCGCAGTCCGTTCTCAAGTCCTCTAGCAAGACCTGTTCAGGACTCCAGCCTACTGCACACGGCATTGGAGAAGCACGCTACAGCCTATGCGCTGCCAACAGCACCGACGACACAGACCCCGGAGCAGGTCAAAGATGAGCTGGAAGCGTTCTGCTCCAACCCTGCTTTGCTCTCACAATTTTACAGTGAAGCGTTCAAGCAGGCGCCATCGCCATCTCCCCGCATCTTGCCGGTGCTCGACAACAACATCCCAAGCTTGGGACTGCCACCAGCGATTAGTATTCGCGAAGCCAGTCCTGCTAACAGAGACTGGTCACTTGGATCCAGCATCATAGGCAGAGGTGCTGCAGCAGAAAGGATTGGCGGCATTAGCGAGATGGCCTTCAATCCGAGTGGTATTGCAGGAAGGAGGCAAGGTAGTGAGGGCAGCATGTCGACATTGGGAAAGCGAGGAAGTATTGCGGAGTCTAGTGCAGCGGGAAGCTTGCCTCAGAGGCAGAACAGTCAGGGAAGTGCTGGCACTGGGGTGTAGCGGATGCTGTCTCTATTCATATGTACCACGGTAGTGAGTGGAAGCAGCCTTTGTGCCAAGAGTATTTGCCTTCGATATTGTCAATCTCCTTCCCACCAAGCGTCCTCTACTTCCCGATCAGTATTACCTTTCCCGCGACAGCGTCAGCCCCACATGATTCGGGACGATGAACCGACTGTGGTTGCCTGTGCACCCAGCGACTTTGATCTGATGTGAGGCCTTACGCCCTGCTGTTCATGACCTTGCTGACCCTCCAAAGCGCTTATAACAACCAGAACCAGTCCCCGAGTCTTAGACTGCCTCTCGAACTGTGCCACAAGATCTGTGCTATTGCCTGCGATACAATATCTACGCCTGAGGAGGCCGTGTGCAGGCTTCTTTACAGAACGCCAGATAGATACTCGAATTGGGGATCGTGCAAGGGTGTGAAACTGTGCAAACACGGCATGCATAGACCTGCCAAGTGCAACTACAAGATTAAATGGGAGCTCGCGGTGAAAGACTTGAGGATCGTCTTTGGCAAAGCAAACGTGGAGATTCTCTCGAGATGTTGAAGCAAGGTGATGTGTGGCTTGGAATCCTTGCAAATTTCTCTCCGCAGTCGAATCAATCGGCCCGGTTGCTAGTGAAGGAAGGATGCTTCTTGGAACGCAACATGATCATTTAGCAGCCTGCGTGATCTGAACGAAAGCGTCTATCAAGCCGCTGGAGGAAGCCCGACCGCTGCCAACGAGTGGCCCGTTAGATGAGGTTGTAAAGGCTCGACCGAGTTAGGTTTGGCTGCATGCAGCAGGCCACACGTGCTGATAAGCAGCGTTGGATTCACACGACAGCCGTTGGGCAGAAGACGCTGATTATCTACCTCCAACCCATAGCATCTGGTCGGACATCAGCCGCCGTCAGTCGTTTGAGCCTATTTGTCAGGATGTAATTTGCCAAAGCTAGTCTACCATGGCGAGGACGTCCACCAGCTGCTCCAAGAGCTTATACGTAGCAGCAGACTACGGCACATCTGGGGTCTGTGGTATCCCGGCGTGATCTGTAGCGTGGAGCTGTCGATGCAGGAGGGCTAATGGATGAGGTGGGACAGTAGGGACGGTGCGGTGGGACTGACGGCGCGGTGATGGCAGCACAGCCAACGATGCTGACCGATGACCGATAACGGGAGTGATGGGAGCGGCCGTCTCGTCCCGGACGGGCTGTGAGTGGCTTCCGCTGCTGTCGTTCGGCCGTGTGGAGGATTGTCTCTGTGGTTGTGAGTGGTGTGAATTGTGCATGTTCACCGCTCTTCTCATAACTAAGCAGCGCGCCGTCTGTCTTGTCCGTCTCGTCCGTCCATGTCCCCAGGCTCGCCTAGCAGCATTGCAACAGTCTCCACTCGACGCTTGACTGTCGACCCACCTCGCGCCTCGTCTGCCTCTCGCTCACGCACGCGACCCCTACGCGCGCGCTGGTCGCCGACTGCTCCATACCGGCCCCACGCCCTCGACTGCCCCTCCGGCGCGCACCTCGAGCGCTCTCTGCCATGTGTTGCCCGCGCTGCAGACGGCATTTCGCTCGCTGTTACCACACCAGCTACGCCTTCCTGAACAACTGCTGAGGGGCATGGGCGCCCGCAGACTCTGACGACACGCCCCGCCGCACGACGACGATCTCGCGACATGATCGGCCAGTTCTTCAGCCGCAAAGGCACCAGCAACCCCGCCACCAGCCCCGCGCCCACGGCCACGCTCGACTCGGCCACGGAGGAGTCGCACACACGCCATCTGCTGTACCCGGACTCCAGCACCCTCTTCCACCCCGACGGGCTGCCCTACCCGCTCCACGCCGCCCCTCTGACGCCGGGCAGCGGCCACGACGGGCCTCTTCCTGAGATCGATCTCGAGTTCCCGCGCGACGTCCGCATCATCATCGCCCAGGATGACTTCGCACACATGGCCAAGACAGTCTTGTTCGACAGCAAGCCAGGCCCGCCGCGCGCCGAGTCGCCTGCCCACTCCCGCACGAGAGCCTTTGGCGGCACCAGTACTGCGGCGGCTGGCACTGCCGGCCCGACGCTGGGAGGCCTGCATGCCCGGCGAACGTCTCTTGTTGCAGAGCCGACACCCAGGTCGCCCGCTGTGAGCGGCTTTACGCGCACGCGCACACGCGGCGCTTCTATATCATCCATGCCGAACATCGACGAGCACGCCCAGATCCAGGCCCAGGCCCAGGCCCAGGCGCGCGCCAGGGAGTCCTCCGACCTGGTCAACACCTGTCTTGAATGCATGTTCGGCAGCACGAGCATGACCTACCGTGGCAATTCTAACAAGATGCACATTGTGCCCCTCGACACCAAACCCGAGGCTACTGTGCTTGGGCCCAGCATCCACGAAGTGTCTGGCTCGCTGGGACGTGGTGATGGCTTTCGGAGAAGAAGCAACCTCGCGAATTCGTTCACGCCCTCGAACCTACCTACAGACCTACCACGTGCCGATTCGAACGAAGGTGTGCTCAAGGAGCCAAAACGTCGGACCATCTTCATCACGCGCATGTTCTCTGTGCCCAGCCCAGACGACAGCACCGAAGCCCGCACATCAACAAATGCGCCGAGCACTCAGCCACAGGGCGGTGGCTTCCCTTTCCCACAGGCCAATCCGAACGCCAAAGCAGGACCTCAGAAGCCCACACATCTGAATCAGCCCCGTAAGACACCGATGTATGCCATCACCATCATCCTGCACCTTCCAATCGCACCAACCTCGAATCCACGAGCGGCCCCCAAGACGCCAGGCCACTTTTCGACCTCGGCGCCTGGTCAGGACTCACTCGCATCTTCCCTCGACTCTGATCGGCGCGCAGGTTGGGCGTTCGTCGACTCGAACCTTGGGGGTGATGCGCTCGTCTCGTCGGCGCTGAGCAGTCATGTCGACGACCGAGTCGATGTCGTGGGCCAGCATTGGGACGTGATCATGCGTGCCCTGACAAGCTTGCAACATGTCGTCCAAGAGCGCATATCTGCTCACTACAAAGCGCCGGTCGCCATGTCACCGCCTGACCAGCCACAACACCGCCGAGCACCTTCCCGAGCGAGCCTCCGCGAAGGTCCACCGCCATTGGGTCGCAGACCTCCCCTACGCCTCCAGCCCAATGCACTCATGTTGGATAAGGAGATACAAGCCGCAGCAGAGCTGACCGGCAACCGTGTAGTCAGTGGCATGCGCATACCTCGAGTCATGACAGGCCAGGGAAAGTGGGGAGTGTGGCGTGAGGAGGCAAGATGGCTTGGAAAATGGGCCGGCAAAAGGGAGCAAAACTTCTTCTTCTTCAACTTGCTAACAGCCTTCCTTGGAAACCACACTGAGTGGCTCAGCATCCTAGGTCCCAAATGGGCTCGGAAGCGCCATCGAGAGCAACTGAAGGCTACAGTCGGAGAGAACATCGTCATTCCAACCCGCACTGTTATTGTGTCTCCTGACAAGATGGCAGCAAGGAGACTAATATTCCTTCTTGCGGCTTTCCTGCCGCCAAATTCACCTGTCATCAGCGATGCTGTCAACATCGCGCGACCAGGCACATCTGCTTCGCTCCGAGCATACTCACAGTCTCCGCCGACCAACATGCCTCCGTCAAGAAAACAGTCGTTGCGACGCCAAATCAACAGACGGCCACGGGAGAAGCAGAGTATGACGAGCATTAGACTGCAGCCTCCTACGTCGAGCAAGGCAGACGCCACATCCTCAGGTACCTCACACCAACGCTCGGTGTCAGCAGTTGTTGAGTTCCCAGATGTCATGAAGCCTCCAACACATTCGCGGCGGTCTTCAACGCACTCAATACGCACAAGTCTTGTTCTGCCCTCGATGTCTGATGGCACTGCCCTGAGCAAGAACACGGTACTCTCGCCATCGACTGCTGCACCGCAGAGTGCCATCCCTATTGCGCACTTTACGTTACCAAGAACTAGATCTGGTGGACCAATTGCGGATCATAGACCAGAAACTAGCGATAGCCTAGCATCGGCGAATCTAATAAACACTCTGCACAGAAGCGGGACCGGCCAAACCAGCCTGGAAAGCAACGACTCTAGCAACAATAGCCGGTGGAGTGGGTTCATCAACTTTTGGAGCGGTGGAAGGCGAGACTCGTCGACTGATGGCAGTAACTATCTGCAAACAACTGATGACGGTGTTGGATTTCGCGGGCTGGAACGGCCTCGGTCGCATCTCGAACAAATGGTGCGGGAGAGTCAAGAGCTGACTCTCGAGGAAGGTGTGTTCGAAGAAGGCGAACCATACGAAACACCAGGAACCAGCGCGAACTCTGCCATCAAGGTCGCATCTGAGACTTTTCCAATCAGTAGATCCAGCGGCATTCCTGTCTCAGCAGCACGACCTATTCCTGAACGGCCAAAGACCTACGATTCTCAACTCAAACTATCTGTCAACGAAAAGGACGGAGTGATCGATGTTGACATCGCCCTTCCCGACTTTGGCTCACCCCTACAATCTCCCATCTTCGGCGGCGCAGGCTCAGTAGGCAGTCAGCACGGCTCCAGCTTTGGCGAATCCTCTATTCTGTCAATGCCCTTCAATGAGCCCGAGCAGCCCGTCAACGCCGCCGGCTGGCTATCGCAGTTCCACCCCGACTTCGCTATTCAAGCCATCAAGCCATATGCCACACTCGAGCGGGAGATCAAGCGTGCAATGTCTGCAGAGCCGACACCTATCACCTCTGCTACAACACCGTCCGTTGAAACCGGGCCGCTGGAGCGCTGGGTTGATGTGTGCTCTGCCCTTGTGGCTGACACACGCACCTTCTCCATCAAGCGCCTTAGCCTCCGCCGTCTTGTCCGTCTTATTCCCGCCCCGACTTACCAGCCCACAGCCCTCACTCCCGGCGTCGCAGGCATGCCACCCGGTCGCTCACAGTATGGTAACCCGTATACATTCTCACCTGTGGCGCCGATGCCAACAGAAATCCACCTTGCTGAGAAGTTCGACGAAGAGGCAATTATGGACTTTGACGCCGTACTAATCGAGGGCATCGACCGCGTTCTCGCACGTTCGGGCGACATCACACGAGTCAACTCGAATCAATCGTCGCGCTCGAGCTCGAGACGTGGACGCAGGGACACAAGAGCTGACTCAGATGTCACGGGTGTGGGCAGAGGCGCGCACGTTGAGGTATCACAGACGGACTGCAAGGGTGTGATCTTTGATGCGCTGGAGACGGTCGTAAAGAATGTCACGGCTGAGAGGAGTACTGAGAAGGAGGCAGAGGGTGGTGAGGAGAAGAGCGTCAGGACTGTCAATCAGAGGACGTATACCCACTCGAGTCTGAAGGAAGGAGTGCGAAGGTGGTTATCTGAGGTCGAATGAGTGAAATACTCGAGGGCCATGTGTGAGATAGATGATTTGCTTTTCGTTGCTGCGTTCTAGCGTTGTTTCCAGCTCATAACATTGAGGAGGGGGGGTTATACCTTGTGACCAGAGGATGCATTTGTTGCTTCAGTCGAACGGCAATCAATACGATTTTATTCAAAGCTCAAGTCAAACATTTGGGAGCCGATGTGCTGTGTGTCACATCATTAATACAGGAACACGTTGTAAGCGCCCCACGACTGCTTGGTCATCAGGTCTTAGTATGTGGTGACTACAGAGGGACACGTAAAGGCCGTCGAGGTTGTTGGAACATATGTCACTTCCACGGCGTGGGACTCCAGTAAGCATCCAATTGCCGACTGTTTCGACAAGAAATATTTTCATGGCCCCAGCCTAGCTGGTTGTACTTCTACATCAAGTACGCATCCATATTCGTTATCCGAATCCGCAATCTCGTAGCCTCTACTAGTTATCTAGAGTCTAGAGAGACAAAGGTTTGGCAAACATTTTCCTGCGGTGAATGTAGCTGTACGTTGGATACCCGTGTCATGTAGAGCATAATTTGTCTATAGTACTGAGCACAACGCTCAATGTTATTGTAATTGCAACCTAGATCGTACGGACAGTGAAGAGGAGCGATGGAGTTGTGGAGAAGGCGTCGTAGGGTTGAGGAAAACCACGCTAGGCTGTAGCTTGGCAGGTTACTTCGAATTGACTTTCACACCAACTCGCGCAAACGCAGCGCGCAATTCTACTCGTCACGACCCTGTACCTCACACATATCCTCACCTTCGAAGTACACGTCAACACCGTCAACATGAGGTTAACAACCGACCTCATCAACAACTCCCTCTCCTTCATCAACTGTCTGACGGAGCGTGAACTCGATCTGCGAGGTGCGTTGAAAAGAACAGATACTACACTTGCGAGCTGAATTGATATCAATATGTGTAAACTATAGGCCACAAAATTTCCGCCATTGAGAACATGGGCGCAGCACGAGTTAGTCCCAAAGAGCACATCTAAAGTTTGAGCAAGTTCTAACACAATGCGCAGGACAACGACGCAATCGACCTCACCGACAATGATATCGCACAGATCGGCAACTTTCCCCTCCAACCCCGCCTTCGCACATTGTTTCTCGGGCAGAACCGCATATCGAACATCCAGTCGAACCTATCGACGAGCATACCAAACCTGCAGACCCTCGTCCTCACAAAGAACAGGCTCACAGAGCTTGCCGATCTCGATCCGCTCGCAGGATTCAAGAAGCTGGTACATCTGACGGCGCTCGGCAATCCGGTCGCGTCGAAAGAGGTACGTACATTTGCGCCGGTAGACACAAGGCACACAGGATGATGCTGAGACTGTATAGAACTACCGGTACTGGGTTATCTGGCGATGCCCAGCCGTGCGGTACCTCGACTTCGCCAAGGTCAAAGATGTGGAGCGCAAGAAGGCGCAAGAGCTGTTCGGTACATCGGAAGAGCCCACCGAGCTGGCTAGCAAGATCATGGGTGTGAAGTCGAAGGGCTTCGTCGTGCCCACCACTAACGGTGCCGATTCGTCAAACAAGCAGGACCGCATCTACACAGACGATGAGAAGAAGAGGATGCGCGCTGCTATCCAGCAGGCGAGCAGTCTTGCGGAGATGGCGAGATTGGAGAAGGACTTTGCGGAAGGTAGGATACCGGCGCATATTCTGGAGGGTGGAGACCCTATGGAGACCTGAGCAACGGCCGGGTTTTAGGTACGCGGCTTTGGAGTTGCACTGACAAGAGGAAATCACAACCCACGGCGGTAAGGATGTCTACTGCCATACGGAGAAAGACGATAGGGACAAACTAGAAGGAAAATCCACAGCTGCCTGCATGGCGCGGAGCTTCCCCGTGGATCAGCGATACGAGCTTTTGCTCATAGTCAGGACATATGGAGATTTGGAACTTGAAGTGAAAATCCAATCGACTTTATCAAACATTCAAGTCCGAGCGCGTTGCTTGAACTTTTGCCATTCATATGATGAGAAAGCTTCCGTGGTATCGTAGTCTTGCACATAAAACGCCGTCCCCTGCTTAATCACCACCCTCTGCCTCTTCCTCTGCCGCCTCGTCCACCTCCACCCTGATGCCCTTGTTGAAACCCACCACCTTGCTGTGCTCCCCCGCCAAACCCTCCCGGCCCACCAGGCCCACCCATACCACCGCCAGCCATCTGCATGAATGTCGCAAAATCCATCTGGCTCGGATCCATACCACTGCTCGCCATCTGCTGCATCATCATCTGCATCTGCCCCTCGTCCATTCCACCGGGCGGCATGCCACCCATCCCGTTCATCGCGCCGGGGCCCTGCGGCGCCCCCGCAGGCGCACCACCACCCGGCATCGGCGGCATCCCCGGCATGCCACCCGACATCATCTGCTGCATCTGAGCCATCTCGGCCTTCTGCTGCTGGATCGTCTGGCTCATTTGCTGCTGCTTCAGGCGGTACGTCTCCCATGTGAACTCGTCGAAGCCGTAGTTGAAGTAGTCGGAGTAATCTTCGCCCGGGCGGCGCCAGAGCTTGTGTTCTTCGGCCAGGTCGGCGTCGAGATCGACGTGCAGAAGGGGTTTGTTCAAGGGAGGGTAGATGGGTGTCGCGTTTACGTCGACGTTGGAGGTGTGTAGCGCTGGGTAGCCTTGGCCGGATATTTGGGCGACTTGGGGCGCGGTGCCGGGGGTTGGGCGGGCTTGTTGTACGGATGGTGGCTGTGGTGTGGATGTTGATTGGGGTGGTGCTTCGATCTTTATAGCTTTGGATTCTTGGGGTTGCGTTGCGCTGTAGGGCTGTTAGTATGTGCAACGTTAAGGAAGACGGAGCGCACGTACGCTGCTGCTTTTGGCGCGGTTGCTGGCTTGTCGATAATGAATTCAAGTTCCTGAGGTCTTGTCAGCCAGAGCTACGCTGTATTTGCTGCTGTTTCTGTACTGAGTCGCTGTCATCGTCGTCGCCTGAGTCTGCGCCCTCGTCCATAGCTTCGCCTCCACTGGATGCATCCTCCTCTTTCTTTTGCTCCTTTTTGGTTTCCGTAGTGGGCTCGGACGGGCCGTAGAGATCATCGTCCTCTTCATCCATTGTTCTGGATGTCTACTCAGATGTGTGCGGCGTGCGAGTTTGGTGTCAAAGAGCGCAACTGCTTTTCTCGCAGGTCGGCCGGTGGTTATGGGGCGCCTATAATACGACCGTGGAGATCTCGGTAAGGGTATGTAGGAGAGATCGCGTTCCTGAGTTCGTTGCTCATTGCTGGTAATGCGTACTAGTCCGAGCTTTGAGCTTGCGGAGCTCTTTCGAAAACACCAAAGTCGCGCGCGACGGTGGCCGATCAACATACGCGGCATACCGCCCAGCAACCAGCCGTTGATCCTTGTTCAGGCACCCATTTGTTTCAATACACTCGAGTAGCTACATCTTGGTTGAGGTTCAGCTCTTAATTTGGGCCATTGCAATACGGAAGGAAGTCCTCGACATTCAGTCCTAGGGAAGAAAGCCAGACTCGAGACAAGATGGCAGGCTTTGGGCGTTCCAACTCTCTGAGCATCAACACTGGCGGTGGTCTTTTGTACGTATTCTGACTTCTCGTCGCGCCAGACTTCGGTTTTCCTGCTCCACCAGCACGGCCATGGGTGTTGTGATGGGCCCATGTGGATACGGGGGACGCAATGACCACGGCGCTTTTCACTCACAAAATACTGACTTGTGTACAGTGGAAGCAATGCTTCTGCCACGAACACGTCACAACCCGCAAGCAGCGGCGGCCTCTTTGGTTCAACTGCAGCACAGCCCGCACCATCGGGAGGTCTGTTCGGCGGATCGGGTCAGCCTGCACCGTCGCAGCCAGCAGCTGGAGGTCTTTTCGGCAACATGAACAAGCCTGCGACGACCGCGCCCGCAAGCGGAGGTCTTTTCGGAGGCGCATTGGGGGCCAGCACACAGACACAGCCAGCAGCGGGAGCAGCGCCTTCTGGAGGACTTTTTGGGGGTGGTCAGCAAGCAAAGCCTTCGCTATTGTATGTTCAAGAACCGCTCTGGAAGACAACGGCTAACACCTCTCAGCGGAGCATCCACACAACAACCCCCCGCGGCGTCGTCTTTGTTCGGAAACGCCAACACACAACAGAACCAGCCAGCCGCAACACCTTCGCTTTTTGGCTCGACGACACAGCAAGCACAGCCGCAGCAGACCAACTCGCTCTTCGGCGGCACGATGAATCCTCCACAACGGACAGGCACGCTCGGTGGCTCGACACTCGGCGGCGGTCAGATGGGGCAAAGCACACAGGCGGTCAACATCGGGCTGGACAGCATACGGGGCACCACGCGCTTTAACGACCTGAGCCAGGAGCTTCAACAGCAGATCCAGGCTTTCGATGAAGGAATCCAGCGCAAGATCGGGTACTGCAACCAGATCCGTGAGACGCTCCCCAACAGCGAAGCCGAGATCGCGACCATAGCACCGGACGTTGCACACATCGAGACCTTCCTCTCCACAGTCGAGGTGGGCTTGGACAACGACTCTGCCAACATCGCCTACCTGCGAGACCTTGTCAAGAAGGATGCTGCAGACGCGACGCTGAGCTTCCGCGCCATCGAGAACCAGCGCCTTCCGGCGCAATTCCACTACAGGAACGGCACGAACCTGACCGCATCCAGCGCGAAACCACCGGTGACCGCTGCCCTCGACGAAGACGATCCAACAAAGCCTGTCGACCTTATGGGCTACTTTAACCGCCGCACGGGCGACATCGGCTGCACACTTGAAGTCTATCAGCGACAGATCCGTGAGATCGAAGGGCACTTGCGCACAATGGAGGCTGGCACATTAGAGAAGGCACAGCAGTTGACTGGTAGCCGAAGCGCGCCGCGAGACCAGCGGCGAGAATTGGTCGAGGCGCTGAAGGCGATCGAAGGCGCTATCTTGGACTCGGCCAAGAAAGTTGGACAAGTTAGAGATGAAGTCACAAAGCAAACGTTAGGCAACGTTGGAGCCACCCTGCTATAAAGGTAGAAACTTCAATTACGCGACAAGAGAGTAATGCATGCGACTGGCGCAATCGGCGCGTGCGAGCTGGTTATTGGGTTTGCACATGTACATTGGACCCAGGTGGTAGATACCCTGAAATTTGATGAGTAAGAATCGGAATTGCATTTCGCGCATGAATTTAGGGCCTCTTCATCCAGCATCGTCTTGATCTGAGAATTGCGGAGAGTGAACATTGCTAATTCCTTAGTCAAAGCGCAGTTCCAAGAGGTTAGTAGAGCTTTCAAATGCTGAGTAAAGCCTCGGAGGGGCAGCAGCTATGACGGAAGCGGGACGTGCATCAGCTTCCTTTGCGTTATTGGTGCATCAGCTTCCTTTGCGTTAGTGGTGGCGCATCAGCTTCCTTTGCGTTAGTGGAGCATCGAGCTTAATGACATCGACAATACATAAACGTCGATGCCCTAGATTCTGAGAGAATCTGACTGCTGGAAAGCGAACGGTTGCACTTCCATGTTCTCTGCGACCACACGGCCGATACCATTATCCAGCCACATTACTAAGACAGCTACAACAACCCGCGCATTCTCATTCAGAGCAACCTCATTCGCCATGGACAAGAAAGATTCCATCCTCAACTGGGTAGATCCCAAGGACAAGAGCGGAGAGTTCAAACGCCAGCAATCTGTGTTCCGCTCCTTCATCGAGAACAAGTCTGGTGCCGAGTTCCCCGCCGAGAAGGATCGCTACCACCTTTATGTCTCGTACGCGTGCCCGTGGGCGCACCGCACCCTGATTGCACGCAATCTCAAGGGTCTCCAGGACATTATCAGCTTCAGCAGCGTGCATTGGCACATGGGCGACAAGAGCTGGCGCTTTGCGACACCGGACGAGAAGCTTCCTGGCAAGAACACTGTGCCTGACCCACTCCACAAGGAGTACACACATCTTCGTGACATCTACTTCGAGCAGAACCCTGATTATGAGGGTCGATTTACAGTGCCGACTCTGTACGACAAGAAGCAGAAGCGCATTGTCAGCAACGAGAGCAGTGAAATCATTCGAATGTTGTACACGGAGTTCGATGATTTGATTGCGGACGAGTACAAAAAGGTGGATCTGTTCCCGAAGAACCTGCAGAAAGACATCGAAGAGATGAATGACTGGGTGTACAACGATATCAACAACGGTGTGTACAAATCTGGTTTCGCTACGTAAGTGTTCTATGCTCTAGATTCTTAAACTTCAAACACTGAGCCGAACAGCACGGAGGATGCATACAAGAAGAGCGTCACCACGCTCTTCAAGTCCCTAGACCGCGTCGAAAGAGCTCTCGCCGACTCATCGACATCGTACCTGCTCTCCTCCCCTCACGTCACAGAAGCAGATATCCGTCTGTTCACAACCATCATTCGCTTCGACCCAGTCTACGTACAGCACTTCAAGTGTAACATTCGCGACATGTGAGTCATCCGCGAAACTTCAGCCTCAGTTCTTCAATCTCAGAGCATAGCTAACAACACCTCAGTCGGTCCGGATACCCAAATCTGCACAAGTGGGTGAGGCATCTGTACTGGGACTATCCCAAGGCTTTTGGTGAGACGACAGAGTTCGAACACATCAAGAATCACTACACGAAGAGCCACGGGCAGATCAATCCGTTTGCTATCACACCTGTTGGACCGTTGCCTAATATTCTGGAGAAGGATGATGAGGTGCCAAGTGTGAAGGCAGCGTTAAAGCAGTAGAGAGTTCAAACGGCGCAACGCGACCAGACGCAATGAATATGTTTTTTTTATAAATGTATCCACCCTCCTTCATCATCGGCCGATTCGTCTGTCCAAAATACACCTCTGTCCTTTTCACCGTTCATGTCTTTTGCTCATACTAAAGCCGCTCCAGGAAATCACAAAGGCTCGTCATGCTTCCACACACCACCTTCCTGCCATTACCCGACAGTCCGTAGGGTGGCTTGTTGTAATGGGTGCGCTCAGCTTCCATTGGCTGATACGCGCAGTCGTTAGCTGAGGTTGGCTTCGCAATGAGAATCGGTGAAGGAGTAAGCCAGCCTGATGCCCTGCATATGCAGCCCATGCGTGTCGCGTAGCTACCGGTCGTGCAATAGTGAGTCTTCCCAACAGTCGCAAGTGAGTTTAAATGAGAGCAAGACCGCCACCATACCTTCAAAGATATTCCAATCAGTAGCAAGTCGGTTCGAAGATGCCTTGCTGCGCAGTTATTGACCCGAATTTTTACGGCTCAGGCCACTGCTGCATCCTTCATAGACTCAACTTTCCCCGATCTCATACCCAAGACTTTTACAGCTACAGCAGCGACTCCACACGTCCGGACGACACGCACTTCCGCACTAGCGCTGGCACAGTGGGCACCATATACCGACGGCGTCACCACAACAATTACCGCACCAACGATACCGGCAACATGGTTTCACTTTACAATCAGACCTACGGTGGGCAACCCTATATCGATGCGCCAGCCGCCAACATGCCCCTAGCACACACACTTGCTCAGTCCTTCGCACTGCTCCAAGGTACACACATCATCAACTCCGCGAGGTACTCTGTCACACCATCTGGGGTACAGATACTAAACATTGATGCGAACCTTGAGCACGAGCAATGCCCTACATGTCGTGCCTGGTTTGCGAGCCGCGAGAAGCTGAATGATCACTGGTCGGAGTATCCCGTGGGATGCGAAGTACATGCGCTGTACATGCGCAGGGACGACGCGCCATGGCATGTGACAGATCGCTGCCACGCTTGGTGCTTCGTGAGGGGGGGTGAGAATCGGGTTCGTACTGGGAGAAATTGGAGGACGAGTGATCTGGAACATCATGTCAGGAAGTACCATACTCGCTGGAGCTAAAATGTTGAGCATTTTGCTGGAAAGGGAGGGAAGTTTCGAAGTGGATTTTTCAATGAATTCAGATGCGCTACGCTCTATGGGAACTACATGAACAGATGAATGACACCCGATCGATCCGCAGAGATGACCATCCCATACGGCTGTTCAATCAGCGCCACATCCATAATCTTATCCAGATGGGACTTGAGAAGCTGTTGCTGCTGCTGAGAAATCAAACCAGTTCGGCTCGGCTTAGGCGCAGGTTTCTTGCTTGAAGACGAGCTCTTGCTCTCCCTACTAATCAGCACCTGAGTATGAGGCTGCGATGAGAGTTCAGTGACTACGGTAGTCTCAACGCCTGGTTGGCTGACGGCGAACTGCGGCTTGACTTCATCAGGCTCGAGACCGCTGACTATCATCGAGGCTTCTGGCTTGTAAGTGTCCCAGTACCGGATCTTCCAGTCTGGCCCAGCGGTGAGGACGAAAGTGTGTCTCGCATCACCCTTATCGTCAACAGCCTGTGAGTGCACAGCAAGCGCACGAATCCCACGGTCTGCGCTCTGATTTGCGGTTGGTTCCAGCGCTGTTGCGAACCGACTGAGCATACCACCTGGCTTCTCTTCGTCAAGATCGGTAAGTAACGTGCTCTTGAGTCCTGTTTCTTTGCCGCCGCCGATCCGGTAAACGCGCTCACAGAGATGCTTCTCCCAATCCCACATAGTTACCTCTCCTTGTCCGCTGCCACCCGCGATGTATAGCCGCTGCTTGAGCTTACGCCCCGGCAAAGGTACCAGGAGAAGCCGATGGACAGGCGATGCACCGCTGTACACCCAGGCTTTGAGGCGTAATTGGAACCGGAGATCCCACAGGTCGAGCACACCGTGAGATGTGCCAAGTAGCAACCAATGTGCTTTCTTATCGACACAGAAGCAAGTGGGTGTTCCATGATTCAGCGGGTTCTCCAAGACGAACAGCTCTTCCATGGTCCTCAAGTCGAGTGCGATGATCTTTGAGGTGTTTGTGGCGAGGATTAGCACGGACTTGTTGTCTTCAGTATAGTGCTCAGACCATACAGCCTGGTCACCCCGGGGTAGTTGGTACTCGCGAAGTAGCCGGGGCCGACCGAACTTAACAGTACCTTCGGGCCCTTGGAGATAGTCAACTCGCACGACGTGGACGCTGCCATCGCTACCGGTGGCCACAAAGGAGTAGGTTTGCTCCACAAAAGTCAGACTTGTGACCTTGATGTCATCACCGAGTTTGTATGTCTGTCGAGAACGTCGAGTGATATTACGCTCTACACGCGAAGTATCCCAGATTTTGACGGTGCCATCGTCTGATCCGCTTATAAAAAAGCCTTGGTCCGGCGATACTAGGATGCGGCTCACAGCAGCGGTGTGCTCACCAAATGTCGCAACCAATGAGCCTTCAGGTCTCCAAGGAACACCTTTGTTCAATGGCTGAGTGTCCTTGTAACGTATGGGTGGTTTCCTTGGTGGAATTTGGATGCGGGGACCAAACTCGATTTCCCCTGGAGGAAAGCGCTCATGAAGCATTGAATCCAACAGCTTGAGGATTGCAGGGTCGTTCCCTGTGTAGTTGTGCGCATTTCTAAAGCGCACATGAGAAGAGCCTCGATGTGTATTGTCAATGGCAAGTGGCGACATTGGCTGGCGGGAACGAGACCTCTCCCTTACATGTGCTGCATCAACTTTCCCAAAAGCGTTTGCAGAAGTGGTTCCAATCTCTGGTAGCGCTTTGTTCTCTTTCTTCTTTAATAGACTCAATGCGCTGTTGCGGTGTTGCAAGGTGTGCGGGTGCTCTGTGACACCGAATGAGTCAATGTGGGAACGAGTGGGGGATGCGCTGCTGGGTATTTGCAGTGAATGTCGCCTAAGACTGCTCTCAGACGACGGCGATCCTCGTGCATAGCCTGCTGGATTTGAGCGCGGCGGGATCGCAATACGTCGCCCACCACTCTCTTCTAATACCAGCCGTTCAGCTTGATTTTGCGCATAAGGCATTCTGGATGCGAGAGCATCGCCCTCAGTAGTGGAAGCATCAAGCAGTGCGTCCTGAAGTGTTCGAGGTTGAGAGACAGCCTCATGTTGACTGCTGGCCGATCGATCCTTGTTGACAGTGTGCTGTACGTTCTCGTCAAAAATGACAGTGAGAGCGTGGACTCCAAGGTCCTTCAGCGTCACAATGTTGTTGAATTTCTTTGGGGTCGATGCAAGGCTGTCAGACCTTCTCCTGTGAACCACGCGCCATATGAATTCCCGCAGAGCCACAAGTTTGAACTCATCATCTGGTGTCATACCCGCATTGCGAAGTTTCTGCACCCAAGACTCGTCCTCTGCATTTTTCTGCATCCTCTGTAGCACTTTTGCGTCTAGTTCACGGCCTGATATGGCAGGTAAAGTTTCTTCTGTGGAGCCAAATGTGAAGGTTTGTTGCTGTCTCGCTTGCGTCCAAAAAAGTCCCTTTTGCGCCTGGACAGCCCAATTCGAGGCCATCTCTACGAGTAGCCTTGACATCGGTCTCTTGAGCGACTCGAGGATACGCGTTTGTGAGAATTCGGAAGGCACGACCTTCAGGTATGGCCTGACAAGATTGACAAGAATGCTGTGTGTGTCGGCAATAGAAAGGTACTTGGAAGCAGTCGCAATGAATTGAGCGGCCGCTTCTCGTATCCAGAGATTCGGGTGCATCGTAAGTCGTGCGACAGTATCGACCAACTCCCACGTCTTTGATCTTTGGAACAGCCCCAGCTCTGCCATTGACGACAGTGCACGTATGACCTTCTCGACGACGAACTCTTCTGGATCAGTCAATGCTTGAACCATGAGAGGGAGGATGTACCCCTCCAAGCTTGCTCCGCCAACAAAGACCGCGACGCCGACTATCGCTTCGAAAAAGCCGCACTTCAGCATCCAATCGGGATCGTTGAGGTACGTATTGAGATGACTGAGTACAACGTCGTTTGCACGTGGACTGCCGAAGAACACGCACAAGTCGGATACAGAACGGAGCATGGCGCGACGAACTGATGCCGTCGTATCGGTCAGGAGTGCCTTTGTGTGCTTCTCAAAGGCGTCTAGTAAGTTCTGGCGATCGACATCAAAGCGATTACGATGAGCGGATGTGGAGAGATTGTCTTCGGCCTCAGGATCGGTAGCGGGCAGGGCGCCATCTGCCCGTAATGCTTGTATCATATCGAGATACCTAGCAGCTGTTGCCGCCAGTGTACCTATACATAAAGCGTACTGCATCCGGACCAGATCGTTTGCTGCTGACGAAGAGTCAGGGAGGTAAGATTCCAACCGTGGCAAAACGTATTCGGGGAAGATATAGGCATTGATTGGGGAGACAACTTGAACCATCGCAAGAATCTGAGTAAGAGATCGTAGTGCCGTAATCCTCACTTGTTCAGACTTGTCGGTGAGCAGCTGCGCGACATAAGGTATGACGCGGTCCAGCTTTGCCTCGTCGGTCAGTCGTTCTGAGAAAGCCAACAAAAGTTCCAGGCCACGGACACGGGCAGAACCACGAGCAGTGCCTCGCATGCACGAAACGACAATGGTCAAAAATATCAGGTTGCCATCGTCTTGCGTAAGACATCGTGCGGGCGAGGCTTGGTGTTGATAGTTAGGGATGTCAATGTGCAGCGGAAACAACTTCGCATTTGGCTTTGGTGGCGAATGCCGCGGCTTCACAAGTTCTCTTCCTTCACTGCTAGAAAGGAGATGGGAGATCTTGTCGTAGTCATTGTATACTTGGTCGATTCGCTCGTCTGGCTCTCCGAGATGTTCTGAAGTTGTCGTGACTGGTTTTCGTCCTGACGAGGGATCGGTAATCGAAAACATGTACTGTTGAAGAAAACCGTAGAAGTAGTCTGGAAAGACTTTGCCTCTCCAGTGCGTGAGATAGTCTTCGGCCGACATTCTGGAGTTTGGATCGACCTGAATCATATGCATGATGAGTTCTCTGACGTGAAGATCTTGGATCTTGCTAAGATGGGAGTGCTCTGGGTTGTACTCGCCCTGACGGTACTTGAACAGCTGGCTCAGAGAGAAGATAGGTGCTTCGAGAAATAGCTCCGCGATCACGCAACCCACACTGAATACATCCATCGCCCAGTTGATATTACCTTCACCCTCTGGCTGCTGACCAGAAGCCAGGAATCTCTCAGGAGCCAGATAGCATGTGCGCCGTCCAGACAGATCGAAGTAGAAGGAGAAGTCAGCCGGATTATCTTCGGGGAGATGCGCGGGTTTGTAGGCGGACGAGAAATCAGTCAGGTAGAGCCAGTTCCAAGATGTGACCAGTATGTTCTCTGTCTTGATGTCGCCATGGTAAATGTTCTTGGCGTGGCAGTCCCGTATAGTAGACAGCAGCTGGAACGACAGCCATTTTTTCTCGATCTCCTCGAGGAACGGACGCGTACTGAGTCTGTCGTACAGAGAGCTGTGGATGTATTGACGGACCAGATAGCCGCATGCAGCCGTTTCAATGATCCTGTGGTAGGCCAAGGCGTTTGGAACCTCTGCAAGCATCTTACGTTCATCTGCTGAGGTCAGCCACCATACAGCACAACCTCTTCTGATACAACTCACGAAGCAAGCGTCTTGCATAAGTCTCGAAGTCGAACTGCGCGTATGGCTTCATGACCACGCGGGCCACGACAAGGCCATCTTTGTGCCGCGCCCTTACGGCCTTCATAAAACGAGCAGCACCAAGCGACTTCTCATATTGCAGGTCAGCCAGCTCCGGTACATCGATATTGGCAGTGCCAGCCGAAAGCGTGGTGAGTGAGAACCCCTGTCCCATGGTGGCGGTTGATGTAGTCGAACACTAGGGCGAAGCGTGTTGATGCCTGCTGGGCTGCATGCTGAGATGTTAAACGTTTGGCTCAGGCTTTTGATGCATAGGCTGGAGACGTCGATCAAGATAGGTATGCTAGCGATTGCATCTCAGGGATCTATTGTTTGCGTGATGGAGGCTGTTGTGCAAATACCACGTGCAACAAGAGGTCGTGGTCATCCTCCACTTGGTCTGGGCGCCAGAGCTGCAGGAGCGGACGCTAAAATCATGACTAAGCAAAACGCTACCTCAGATGCGTGGTCGCGTTTGCGGTGCACTTCCCAAAGTTGCACGAGCACATCTGCGGCTACACCCGTGTTACAGCTGGTCTGGACATTCCGTGGGTGATTTGAACTCAACTTGCAGCGCCCTTGGAGCTACTGATCTCCGCACGTACGCCACCATGACTACCTAACACAAGCGCGTTCATACAACAGTCGCTATCGTTACAGTCTGCGCCGATGCCATGGAGTCCTCAAAACCAAGGCCGGAGCTAAGGGAGCGTGGCAGTTCGGCGACATCCAAGACGACCACAGCACATGAAAGCCTCTACGAGAAGCCGGAGGAGTCCGAGCGGACGTCATCTGTCGCCGCCAGCCCTGAGTTATCACCTCAGAATGACGCTCTAACGAACAACTTCAAGCCAGAAGCTGATCTCGATAAGCTGCCTGGGGTAGGTCAGCCCCGTGCAGAGACCGAATCAGTCAGATTCGGTGGCGAGGAAGAGGACCCCACCATGAGCATGGAGTTCAAGAGACCCGCAAGCCCCCCCACTGTCCACAAAGTCAAAGATGTCTCGTATCATAAGGTCGGTGAGAATGGTATCTGCAGGATGCACAAATTCTCGTTGTACGAGACAAGTACACGATTCTACCTTGTTGGAGCCGATATCATGGAGGAACATTATCGCGTGCTCAAGATTGACCGAACGTCGCCGCCAGGCCTTCTAACCATCTTCGAAGACGATATAGTGTATGAGAAGAACGAGATGTTCAGGCTACTGGGAACGATTCAGGACGGCAACAAAAGCACCGGAGGCATGAAGCTCAAATGCAGCACCTGGGGATTGTTGGGTTTCATACGGTTCACCGATGCTTACTACATGCTCTTGATATCCAAAAGAGCTCAAGTGGCGATGCTGGGTGGACACTATATATATCAAGTCGACGGCACCGAGATGATACCGCTTACGACAGGCTCCACAGCACGGTTTCAGAAGGATCGCAATCCGGAAGAGGCAAGATTCCTGGCAAGTCTCGCAAACCTGGATCTAACGCGTTCGTTCTACTTCAGCTACTCATACAACATCACGAGAAGCCTTCAGCAGAACATCATACACGAACGCACTGCCTTGAACAATGGTATCGAGAACCCTGAGCGCGATTATCAGGACATGTTTATCTGGAATCACTATCTTCTGGACCCCGCTCGCCTTGCGTTGAAGAACGTCTATGATTGGTGCCATCCAGTCATACACGGATATGTAGATCAGTCTTCTCTCGACGTGTTTGGTCGCAGGATCTACATCACTATCATTGCCCGGCGATCGCGACACTTTGCAGGAGCTAGATTTCTGAAGCGGGGTACAAACGACCTGGGATATGTCGCTAATGATGTAGAGTCCGAACAGATCGTGTCCGAAGCGCTAACCACTTCTTTCCATGCGCCGGGGCCACGCCTTTACACGAATCCGACATACACTTCATATGTACAGCACCGTGGCAGTATACCACTCTTCTGGACCCAGGATAATACAGGTGTTACGCCGAAGCCAGACATCGACTTGAGCCTTGTGGATCCATTCTACAGCGCTGCCGCTCTCCACTTCGATGACTTGTTCGAACGATACGGCGCCCCTATCATTGCTCTGAACCTGATAAAAGCACGGGAGCGGATGCCCAGAGAATCGAAACTACTGTACGAGTACGAATATTGTATTGACTATCTCAATCAGTCTCTACCCAATGACAAAAAGATACGATACGAGGCATTCGATATGTCCCGTGCCGCAAAAACGCGAGGTCAAGATGTCATTGGAACTTTGGAGAGTCTTGCTGAAAAGGTCATGCAAGAGACCGGTTTCTTTCAGAATGGAGACGAGACCAGCGGCACAGCTCAGGTCCAGAATGGTGTGGCCAGAACAAATTGCATCGATTGTCTTGATCGCACGAACGCCGCCCAATTTGTAATCGGCAAGAGAGCCCTCGGTCGACAGCTGCATGCGCTCGGTGTCATCGCCGGGAACACCGTTGAGTATGACTCGGACTGCGTGGAGATGTTCACTCACATGTTCCACGGCCACGGAGATACTATTGCGATACAGTATGGTGGATCCCACCTTGTCAACACAATGGCTACGTATCGCAAGATCAACCAGTGGCAAAGTAGTTCTCGCGATATGGTGGAGAGCTTCAAGCGATACTACCACAACTCCTTTCTCGACTCACAGCGCCAAGAGGCATACAATCTCTTCCTTGGCAACTATACCTTCCATCAAGGTCAGCCAATGCTGTGGGATCTGACTACAGATTACTACCTCCATCACGCTGATCCACGCGCATACCTTGAAAGACAGAGACGAGACTACAACAATTGGTTCACTCCTTCAAACTTAGAGCCACGAGAACTACCGCCCTCGACGAATCTGACGACAATGCACAGCCAGTGGCTGCAAGCCAATATTGGTTTTCGAGATGACTACTTTCTTGAATATTATCGGCCGCTGGCCTTATCGTCGTTTCTCAAGATTTTCGCCTTTCGACTGGCATCGCCTAATCGGGTTGCGCGCGACGGCAGAGACGGTCTCATGCCAGCACGCCTTGAAGACATGTCGCCTTTCGTGCCTCGCAAAAAGCAGCATGAACAGGTCTCTCAACGCAATCTTGCAAAGAAGGGCCAGCGGAAAGGCGTGACGATTCTCGATCCAGTAAGCGAGACGGGCTCGCGACAAGGTAGCATTATGGCTAGGAGACGTCACAACCTACAGCTTAGCGTACCCGATACAGCCTCTGTTAAGCACTCCATACTTCGAGATCCACACTTCGAAACAGATATGCCATCTTCGGCGCCTGCAGTGACAAGCTCGTTCCCATCGCTTGCGAACTCCATGTCCACCTCAACTGGTTTGGCTTCCACTGTACGACCTGGCTTCAAGCCTGCTGACAAGACGCTCATCAATCAATGGACCCTCGAGCAATTCTATGACAACAGCATGAACCCAACTGTGTCCGGAGGCGAAGCTGATGAGTACGAGCGATACATCGAACACCCACTAAATCTGCCGTTAGTCGTTAGTAGCGAGACGCCAAGCGCAGACGACCCATCCGCCATGGAATACTACGAATACCTAAGCATGACTGAAGGACCTCAACCCCCAACCGAGAACGACGAATCCAGCATCACTCCCTACGGCCTGTCCCGCCTCGACACAGACGTTATGTCCGTCCGCTCATTCCAATCCTACTCACGCCCCGTGACCTCAGCATCCGTCAGCACGCCCTTCTCGCATGCCCCAACATACTCGTGGCCACAGAGTCTCAATCCGCACCCGCACATCTACCCTTCCTTCACAGACGAGGCACTACTGACATACGCGACGCCTGGCAAGTTTCAGACTGCGGAGGACGATATTGAGGAGTTCGAGGAGTATCTTAATGTCAAGGAGAATCCGCTAGATGTGGAGGTGGAGGATGGCACGAAGAAGAGGTATAAGGCGTATAGACAATGGCTGAAGGGGAAAAGCTTCTTCAAGCAGAGTAAGGTGGATCCGGAGTGGCAGAATCAGTTGCCTGTTAGGTAGTGAGCGACGTTTTTGGTTGCAGTGGCGTTCTAGCATGGTGAGAGGTGTAGGTAGCATTGCAATTGGAGTTGTTTGGTTGAAGTTTTGAGTTTATGGGCACTAGAACTAAGTCTCGCTCTCATGTAACAAGAGTATTTGCTCGGCATCTCAATGGCCTTGGAGACTTACGAGCAATGCCCTGTTCGAGGGTCTACGCGTAGCGCACTCATACGATGCACGCGCGGAGCGGAGCGGAGTGGCTGAACCCAGTTGTTTCCCCTCATCGCTACATTCCGCACGATGAGCTATGTGGCCAGTCAATATGGTTAAGGCAAGTGGGTATGACAAGGTCGAAGCAAGTGGGTGTGATAAGGTTGAGGTAAGGCGTATTTGCTTCAGACCCGTCGCGCCATCGGCAATCGGTACGTGACACAGTCTTAACTTCCTTCTCTAGGGAGATACACATAATCTGTAAGTGGAAATCCTCAAGTGCTCAGGGTTAGGGATGATCTTCTTCGATTGTTTCTTGGGGGACTCATTGAGGCTTTTCAGGCTGTGCCTCGTTCTTATCGAATGGTCGTCACAGTTCAAACCCAAGAAATGAGGGAATATGCTCTGCTTTTCAATAACGTTACAGCATTATGCCGAAAATGGCAGAGCATTGATGAAGCTGATTGAGAGTCTAATTTAATTGTTGTATGCGGCCTGTGTGTCTACTTGTCCTAAGATTCCATCGACTCGCTGCCGGTATTACTCTCCATAAATCCTTCCTGCGCAGTAGTGCGGCACCAAGGCTTCACTTCCATCTCCTTACTCGTGTAAGAAACGAAGCATGAAGACTAGCCTTTGCGCGGCCCTTTGGCTACCACTCTCTCGATCGTCTCCGTGGCGATAAGATGCGGACGGACGCCAGTGTTACCTGCAGCGAGCTATGAGTAGGATGCTCAAATCGTATCACGTTAGTGTTTTTCGGCGTATCCCGGGGCCCGTTAAAGTCCATCATGCTAAGAAACACGACTTGTACTGAAGTCCGATTTGAGTTGATCGAGGAGGAGTTGAGGCCAAGGCATACTCAAGGCGTCCTGCAGCATTTCACCGGTTCCTGGCCCCCAGGCTTATGCAAGAGCGGATGCAGGGCGGGCATGGGGAACGTGAACGACTTCCAAATGGCACGAATCCATTGGCCAGTGCCGAGTTCTCCCATGCGGTAGATCTGAGACATTTTTCTCTCTTCTGCGCTTGTGTCGTGCATACTGCACAGCCTCCGACGGAATCGACTGCCGGAGGACGACAAGAGCTGTGTCACATGCGAAGTACTTGATAAAACGCTTCCCAGAAAGTGGCGAACCATGCGGAATTTACTGTCGGTCCTTGGGATACGATGGTTCTCGTGCAGCGTTCGAGGTGATCGGCTGCGCAGGCCCTACCGGTAGGGGCGACCCGCGGGGGGCGCGCATAAACTTGACGCTTTTGGATGACCGCGCGAGCTATTGATGCACCCTTTATGGAAGACTCTGAGGTTGCTGCATTGCTGTTCGAGCGCTGATATCATTTCGGCAGCCATTGGCTTTTCATGCGAACGATGCTGCGTCCCGGATTATACTGAGACCTCATAAGTCTAGCACGCGTGCTGGAGTCCAAGATTTGTGGAAGTTGGTATCAACCTAGCTGCCCAGGACTCAGGAGAAGGGTGTCAATGCGCCAAAAGAAACCTTACTCACCGAAAGAAGTCGTCAGCTGAAGCTATCGAGCTCGTAACCATGCCGACCTCGCCCAGCTCAGCAACACGGATAATGGCTGCAAACTGCATCAGCCTGGTCGCTAGATGCACTTTGCTCAGTCAAGAATACTCTAGCTCTGATGGCACTCCAATATTCGAATGACAGGTGTGTACCAGTCATGTGTTCCGGGATTGTGCCGATATCGTGAGAGTGGCGTGTCAGAAAATGGGTGGCAAGCAGAGTGGTAAGTCGGGAGGTGCTTTTGTACGATTGCATAGCTTGCGATTAGTCAGGTACATATTGTCGATATGTACGTATAGACCAGTTCATTCGAGTAACAGACGATTGCAGCTCACCATAGTTGCAGACGTGCATGCTGCGATTGAATGTCCGCTGAGGCAAGGTAGCTTTCGCGTAGTCAAAGATCTTCCTGGCTACTTCATTATCGCCTGGCACCTCCACGCTATCGAGGTCCAACTGAGCGTGTCCCTCCTTCTTGGTCTCCTCGAGTGCTTTCGAGCGGCCCGTGGAACTGTAGCCCATCCATTGGGGATCGGAGCCATGGCACCACTGCTCGACATAATGTGTGCGACTTGTAGTTGCGGTTGATGTGGCTGCTTTCAAGACAGGATTTGTCTCTACGGTCTCGAGATCAACTCTGAAAATGCTGAACTGTGGTCATTTGCTGCAACGCAGTCATTGAAAATTGCGCAGAAACTCTGTTAAATTCGTGTTGATGTGATTTCGTCATTACTATAGTGGTTCCTAGTAGGTTCCTTTCCCTGTTGTGGCCGGAGGGCGCGTCAGGTATGCATGTTAGCATATGTAACTTCTGTCTGAAGACGAAAGGCGCAGAAGTGGACTTCGTTACCATCATGGATTTGTGAGTCAATTTCTGGGCTTCGCCATTTCCAGGACGTCTGTTCTCAATGTCACAATCGTATCTTCATTGGGTGGTCACACCGGAACCTTGCACGTCATTGTGGAAAAGGCTGGTTTTACCACGTCTTCCGGGAACAGACCTGGATACAGGCAGTACCGGTTTTTCATTCCCCACACTTGCAATCCTGTCAAGCTGTAATGGGATCGAGGCTGCCTTGCTTTGGCATGAGCCAATTAAATAAAGTAGCGTGCCATGGCGGTCAGCTGTTCGCGGGGTGCATGCAATCAACTTACCGCGCGATTGGAGTCGCCAAGATTGAGAAGATCAGCTGGATCCATCAGAGGGGCTTGTGCATAGCAAGCATCAAGATGTGTCAAGAGCCGTAGTTCGAAGCTTGGAAATTCACGCAGATCCGTCATTTTGCGTCAAAAGCTGCTGGAGCGTCCGCATATAAAGACCCGATGCCGATGTTACCAAGTCGCGTCGATGGGATTCGCCGCGTACTACGATTCGAGATGGATCTGATTGACTGCGGAGCGTGAATCACAATTGTTGACCTTCAGGGAAATCGACGAGCTTCAGTCCCTCAGCGCAAGGCACAGGCACTTCCCGTCGAGATGGGGAGAATGCTCAATCGAAGCATCGCGGAGCGGGTCATTTCAATACCACTTGGCAATCGTCGTCGAGGGACGTCTGCTTTGGCTCTGCGTGCTTTGGATGTGCTTTGATCGCCAGGCACTTTGCTTGGCTCGAGGACACGGACATTGGGGCTGTGACTGGGGAAACAACCGCCAGCGGCAATCAGTTGCGTTGGTCTTGAGGCTGTGCTGGCGGCAACGATGGCCAACACATTTTCTGCTTTGGTCATTGGTAGTCTTACAGTCGAAGCGATAGGTATGAGTATTCATGGTCGCTGTCGCATCCTCGATGAAAGGCAATGGCGAGGAGTAAGCTTCCAGGAGAACGAGATGTTTGGTGTGATTTGACGCCCTGACATGACACGGAGAGCATTACTTGGCTCATCTAAGGACGGCCACGCGCGACTTTTTCCCACTGGGCGGACACGGGCCTTGCCTCCTGTGTGCGACCGTTGTTGCTATAGCGAATGCAGGCATGTGCATTTTGCTTCCTCAACGCGTGCAATCGGCTCAGCAAAATGAACATGTCGAAGCAGCAGCATCAGAAGTTTAGCGGACCTCAGCAGCAGCTTGACCTGTTTCAAGTCTAGACTTCAGCGTCCAAACGAAACCGCCGATGAGAGGACGGGGTCTAAACCCAGAGGGGGCAAGCGAGTCGAGTGCTAGCCAGGGCCTTTTCGGCAGCCAGCCATAGCAGGACTGGTGCGCTTGGCAAGAGGGCAGTGCAAAGGTCGTCCAGCTTCTTTAGACAACACTTGATCGCCATTGGGTGTGTTGGCGCGTCCTCCCTGGCTCTTCTCCGTCTCAACTGCAGCAGCCCGCCTTCCAACAGGTTGTTTTCGTGTGCGTTGAGAGCTGAGAGCCTTGTTGCCACGAGCCCTCTTTATACCTTTCGCTGCACGAACATAGTCACGCACCTCTCACTGGGCGCAGCAAGCACTGCCTCGATTACTGAACCTGGACGCAGCCAAACCTGGTCATCGAGCTGTGATTCAGCTAGCTGTGGTAGTCCTCGCCTCCCCCAAGACATCTAGGTATGCCCATCGCGTTCTCCGTTTCAGCATACCACGGTCACAGCGCTCTGTCCGGCTTGTAACCTGTGGCGCAGCTGTCCACATAGAACGCGTTCAGGTGAATGGGCGTATATACTGACGTACTGCAGCCTCGTTTGTGCATCTCGTTCGGGACCACTGCGCTGGCTCTTGCCCTGAGCCCGTAGCAACACGCATGCGCAATCAACTGCGCAGCCTACCTCTCGCCCCTCGACCCTCTTAACGCCCACGCGACCCGCTCGTAACAATTTTAGCACTCACCGGTCAACACTTACTCAAATCGACCATTGTTCTCGTATTCTTTGCTTGCCTGACCGCACAGCCGCCCGCTCTCTGTCTACGACGACAGCCTCGAGGCTGACGTTAGGCACCACCATGGCGGACCACGACACACCGGACGCCGCGCCGCGGCGGCCAAGGGCCCCTACCATCACCATCGATACATCCGCTGCTGGCGGCAATGGCACGAACGGTTCAGTACCTCTTGCCAGCATCGACCCTCACAACTCTAATAATATGGACAACAACGCGTCGCCGGAACTGCGCAGCGCAGGTTCGTTCGAGAGTAATGCTAGTAGGCCAACATCGCCGCATAATGTATCATCGCCTACGCAAAAGTGGAACAATGGAGGGAATCTGCTGTCGGTACCGGGTGCGCACTCTCGCGGAAACTCGATGGACTCGACGGGCGACCACGGCGAATCGAATTCCACGGCCACCTATGTGGCATCGTCGCAAGGCGAGACGCTTAAGGGAGAGATGGGGCCTACAGAAGTTCTTAACGATGAAGAAGCTTTGAAGCCTGATCCTGGAACAGAAGCCGACTTTGAAGTTGAGAACAATAATTTCGCTTTTTCGCCCGGTCAGCTTGCTAAGCTTTATAATCCCAAGAGTTTGGGAGCATTTCACGCATTGGGTGGTCTGGATGGCCTGGAGAAAGGTCTTCGTACAGATAGGAAGGCCGGCCTAAGCGTTGACGAACAGCAACTTGATGGCATCGTAACTTTCGAAGAGGCTACCATGCCAAGCCAAACACAAAAATCTCTCAAGTCATCAGCTACTGGAGCTATCCGAAATGACTCGTCAAAAGCGACAGGACCAAATGCTTTCGCCGACCGGATACGGGTGTTCAGCGACAACCGCCTTCCGGTGAAGAAGCCAAAGAACATTTTCCAGCTAGCATGGATGGCATACAACGACAAGGTCTTGCTGCTTCTGACAGCAGCTGCGATTATTTCACTTGCGCTTGGTCTATATCAAACTTTCGGCACTGCTCACACGGAAGGTAAGCCTAGGGTCGAATGGATCGAAGGTGTAGCCATCATTGTGGCTATTGCAATCGTCGTCGTTGTTGGTGCTGCCAACGACTGGCAAAAGGAGCGTCAATTCGTGAAGCTAAACAGGAAGAAGGATGATCGACAGATCAAGGTCATCCGCTCGGGAAGAACCCAGCAGGTCCTCGTCTACGACATCCTTGTTGGAGACGTTGTTAATCTGGAACCTGGTGACATGATTCCCGTGGACGGCATTCTCATTCAGGGCCATGGCATCAAGTGCGATGAGTCTTCCGCAACTGGTGAATCCGACCTTCTGAAAAAGACTCCCGGAGACGATGCTTTCCGCGCTATCGAAAAGCACGAAAACCTGAAGAAGATCGACCCTTTCATCCTCTCTGGCGCCAAGGTGTCTGAGGGCGTTGGACAGTTTCTGGTCACTGCCACTGGTGTGAATTCGAGCTACGGAAAGACGATGATGTCCCTGCGCGAAGAGAGCGAAGTCACTCCTCTGCAGTCGAAGCTGAACGTCCTCGCGACATACATCGCTAAACTCGGTAGTGCCGCCGCGCTTCTCCTGTTCGTTGTTCTTCTCATTGAATTCCTCGTCCACTTGAGAGGCAGCACCGCCACTCCCGCACAAAAGGGCCAGAACTTCCTTGACATTCTTATCGTCGCTATCACTGTCATCGTTGTCGCGGTCCCTGAGGGTCTGCCACTGGCTGTCACGCTCGCACTGGCTTTTGCTACAACTCGCATGTTGAAGGACAACAACCTGGTGCGATTGCTCAGATCTTGCGAGACTATGGGAAATGCTACAACTATCTGCTCAGACAAGACTGGTACCCTCACTCAGAATAAGATGACAGTCGTCGCTGGGTCTCTCGGTACCGCTCTGCGATTTGGCGACCACAATCTCAAGGCCTCCTCTCACGACTCGGCTCCTGGGGATGATGGCGCCAAGGGCAAAAATCATGAGTCTCCTGTCGAGGGTCCCAACGATGTCTCCGCCTCTGAATTTGCTGCTACCATTAGCAAAGATGTGAAGGAACTTCTCGAGGAATCGATCGTTCAGAACACTACCGCATTCGAAGGCGAGGTCGGTGGAGCTGATCCATTCATTGGCTCCAAAACTGAAACGGCCTTGCTTGGTTTTGCACGCGACCATCTTAGCATGGGCAACCTCGCCGAGGAGCGTTCGAACGCCAACATAGTACAAGTTATTCCATTCGACTCGGCCATCAAGTGCTCAGCAGCTGTTGCAAAGCTTGCTGATGGACAATACCGAATGTACGTCAAGGGAGCCTCTGAAATCCTTCTTGGCAAGTGTGACATGATTGTTACGGATGCATCAAAGGAGCTCATCGCAGGCCCCATGACAGGCGACAACCGCGAAGCTCTCGAGCATGTCATTACGGCGTACGCTTCCCGCTCCCTGCGAACCATCGGTCTCGTCTATCGCGACTTTGAGAGCTGGCCACCCAGAGATTCTAAGCTCATTGAAGACGACCCAAGCCAGGCCGTGTTCACCGACGTTTTCCAGAACATGACCTTCCTCGCCGTTGTTGGTATCCAGGACCCTCTCCGCGACAGCGTGAAGGAGGCCGTAAAGGACTGCCAACATGCTGGTGTCTATGTCCGCATGGTCACCGGTGACAATGTTTTGACAGCCAAGGCTATCGCTGAAGACTGTGGCATTCTTGTTCCTGGCGGTGTCGTCATGGAAGGCCCTACTTTCCGCAAGCTGTCAAAGAGGGACATGGATGCCGTCATTCCCAAGCTCTGTGTTCTTGCCCGTTCCAGTCCTGAGGACAAGCGCAAACTTGTGAAGCGTCTCAAAGAGCTGGGCGAGACTGTTGCTGTTACTGGTGACGGTACCAACGATGCTCCTGCGCTCAAGACGGCAGATGTCGGTTTCTCCATGGGTATTGCCGGGACTGAAGTCGCAAAAGAAGCCTCTGCCATCATTCTCATGGATGACAACTTTGCTTCGATCGTCAAGGCCTTGCTTTGGGGTCGTGCGGTCAACGATGCTGTCAAGAAGTTCTTGCAGTTCCAGATCACAGTCAACATCACTGCTGTTGTCCTGACCTTCGTCTCCGCTGTTTCCAGCTCGGATCAGCAGTCTGTGCTTACCGCTGTCCAGCTTCTCTGGGTCAATCTTATCATGGACACCTTCGCTGCTTTGGCTCTTGCAACCGACCCCCCTACACGAAGCCTTTTGAACAGAAAGCCCGATCCTAAGTCTGCTCCTTTGATCACTCTGAGGATGTGGAAGATGATCATCGGTCAAGCTATCTACCAGCTCGTGGTCACCTTCATCCTCTACTTTGCAGGCGAGTCTATCCTTAGTTACGAAAGCGAGCGCGAACAGAAACAGATGCCGACACTCGTCTTCAACACTTTCGTCTGGATGCAGATCTTCAACGCCCTCAACAACCGCCGCCTCGATAACCACTTCAACGTCTTCGAAGGCATCACGCACAACTGGTTCTTCATCGGCATCTTGCTGATCATGATTGGCGGTCAAACGATGATCATCTTCGTCGGTGGCGTTGCCTTCTCCGTTGTTAGGATCAACGGCGCTCAGTGGGGCTACTCAATCGTCTTGGGTTTCCTTTCACTCCCTGTCGGCATGATCGTTCGCCTGGTCCCAGATGAACTCATCCGCAGCTGTATTCCTGATTTCTTCAGGAAGAAGCGCAATCCTGAGGTAGTCGTCACCGACGACGACTTCGAGTGGAACCAAGGTCTTCTTGAGATCCGCGACGAGCTTGCCTTCATCAGAAGATTCCGTGGTGGCCGTCTCAGCAACATCAAATACAACGTGACCCACCCCAAGGAGATCTTCACAAGGTCTAGGACCAGTTTCTCTCACCCCAGCACGCCCAACAACGGTGCTGTTGAGCAAGAAGGTTCCCCGGCACCCACACCATCCAGCCGACGCCGCACCAGGTCACGCTCGAACTCTGCTTTCGGTCCCGCCGCTGTCATGGCCGGCATTGTTGCAGGCAGTATAGGAGGATGGTCGCCGATTGGCAAGGATGCTGGCGATGCTGGTTCGCTCAAGTTTAGCCGCGACATGAACAAGGACGATCTCGAGGCACAGCCGGGCATTGAGGTGCATCCTCAGACCAAGTCGACAGATCCGGTTCTCGCACCCGATTCGCACGAATACCGCGGCCCACCGAGCCAGCACACGGAAACTACCCCCAACTTCGCCATCGGACCTTTCGCAGGAGACCCCAAGTTCAACGACAGCAAGAAGGGCGACACGAAGTCCTAGTTCACCTCCTCTCATACACTCCTTCAACTGTACACCACTTTGCATGAATCGGCGTTCTCGGAGTTGCTTCCACAAGCTCCTTGCACTGCAGGACTGTGCAAGATTCCACATACATGCTTTAATGCCAATACCCACCAACTGCTGGTCTCATTTGCGTTTCCGTTTCTCGGTTGTATCATTGGAGCTTTCGAGGCAAGAGAGATTGTAGCCGTCCTTTCGACAAGCACCGAGCATCAGGTAGTTCATACTCATAGTCCCTATCAATCTCACCAAAAAGTTTAACTAGGCGTGTTCCTCTGCACTTGCACTAATGTCCTGTCGACTACGCTTCGGCTGCTTTCCTGTATCCCGGGTATGTACACATCGAACACGACATGCACAACCCCTGGCGCATACATCTTGACTCTCTCAACATGCTGCACGCGCACCACCCCCGCCTCCCCTGCGGCGCCGGGGCGGTCGTTTAAAAGCCTCTGGAACGCCGCCTCGACCTCGGCCGTGCGCGCGTCCACCTCCAGCACTCCGACGTTCTCGTGCGCGTGCACCCAGCCCCCGCGCGTGGCGTCGATTAAGCCCACGGCGCTGCGCCAGCTCGGCCGCGATACTGGGAGCAGCCCTAGATTGACGTGCCGGATTGGAGATATGTGGCGACGTAGATTGGATAGGATGGAGGGGGCGTGGGTGTTGCTCATGGCGAAGATGAGGAGGGAGGGTTCCGTGGCTGCGGTGCTTCCGACACCATCGACTCCTTCGACACCGTCGCGCCAGGCGTCCCACTCGCTCGTCGGCGCATCGTGAGCCGGCACCTGATCCGCAGTGAAGACGCGTGCGCGCCAGCGGTTCAGCGCACACCCCCTGCGCAAGCCCTCGACGCTCCACGGATTCAGCTCGAAGCAGAGGAGCCGCATCCCTGCGCGGCGGTAGCTGAAGGAGAAGTAGCCGATGCCGGCGTACATGTCTACCGCTGTGGCTCCTCCACCCTCCAAAGTGCGAGGCTCAGAACTTGTCAGCTCTGCGGAGGCGAGACGAAGGATCCGCGCTTTTTCCTTGACGTTGCCCCGGCTGAACATGGTGTACAGCGGCGCCCAGGTCTGTCTGATCCCGTTCTGCACCACACCAACCCACAGTGCGTCGTCAAAGTCCCGGGGCGTGGGAGCACGCAGGGTCTGCGGCGTGGGGCGCGGGCCGAACGAGCCGTGCAGCGGCGCGAGGTTCACGGGCGACCGCAGCTCGTTCGCTGCGTCGCTGCTGTGCGCGGCCGAGGCTGCGTTCGACGCTGGGATGGGCGAGTTGAGCGCTATGTGGGTGCAGTCCAGCGCCGCGGCTACGTGGGTCCATACTTGTTCGAGAGTGTGGGCGTGCGAGTTGATGAGGTGCGTCCAGGGGGGGTTGAGCGAGATGCTGGGCAGCAGGAGCAGCGGCTTGTAGACGGAGTAGGAGTCTGGGAAGCTGGAGACTAGGCTGTCGATGTCGGTGGGGTGGTTGGCGGACGTGAGGGCGTCCGGCGGCAGGGACTGTAGTGCCGATCTGACAGCTCGACGGAGAGGATTGGGTTCATCGTCGAGAGAGCGGTTGGTCTGGCTTGTAGGTGGGGTCCAGGACGAGAGCGTGATGTCTTGCGACAGATGGGTCAGTTCCAGCTCCGTGAACAGCCGGACAGCTGTGGCTGGAAGCGAGTCTTCGGATAGTGCTGGAATCGTGGTGGGGACGCGCATTCGCTGCTCGACTGAATCGTCTGGAGCTATCCCGTGGTATCTGTCGAATCTCGTGACTCTTTCCAGCGCCACCTTCACCTCCTTGACGAGGGCCTTTGTGACCAGTAAGACGTATCTTGCGCCGCTCGGGCCGGATTGGCGTGGTCGCTGCACCATGGCGTCCGCGTCCATGGTGGTGGATGGTGGCTCTGGTTGTGCTGACTCGAGGAAGTCGGCTCAGACATGTTGCGGCAGAGTTGATCAAAACGGACACTTGACGACAAACTCTACAGGTTCAATCCATCACACCGGGTTCAATCCATCACACCGGGTTCAATCCATCACACCGGGTTCAATCCATCACACCGAGTTCAAAGAGCGGCAGACATTCTCGAAGCGGCTGTGACCATGAGACTGTATCGCAAGAGGCAGCCGCGAGCATGCATCTGATTGACGTCGAACCTCATGCCCCGCCCCCACCAGCAATGGCACGGCCAGAGCGCCAACCACGTCCAACATCAACTTCCCATAGTCCTGCCCGTGCCGTGCCGTGCCGTCCGTCCAACGACCACAACACCATGTCGTCGCACCTCCAGACCGCCGTGACGCCGTTGCACGCGCCGGACATGTCCTTTACAAACCTCGCCCTCGTGGCGCAATGCGACGCGTTCCCGTACGCCGACGTCGACCCGTCCGCCTACCTCGCGCGCACAAACACATACTTCCAGCTCCGAGTTTCCGGGCACGACTACGCGCTCGGCTACATGCTGCCGTCAGTCGCAGAAGTGTTCCGCGGCGTGGCGGGCTGGGAGCTCGACGACGCGGAGCGCGTGCTGACGCTGACGGGCGGGGACTCGGCGGTGTCGCGCAGCGCCGCGGTGGAGAAGACGATGCTCGCGCTGCGGGAAACGGGGCATTTCGAGGTGCTGAAGAAGTGGCGCGGGGAGCTGTACGCCGTGTATGGGCGGGACAAGGAGCTCCTGTTCAACGTCGAGCGGAGCGCGTCGGCGCTCTTCGGGGTGGTGACGTACGGCGTGCACCTCACCGCGTACACGAGAAGCGAGCAGGGCGAGATCAAGATCTGGACGCCGCGACGCGCCAAGACGAAGCAGACGTACGGCGGCATGCTGGACAATGCTGTAGCGGGCGGGATCGCGAGCGGCGAGAGCCCGTTTGAGAGTCTGGTCCGCGAGTGCGGCGAGGAAGCGAGTCTGGCGGAGTCGCTGGTGAGGGAGCGAGCGAGGGCGGCGGGAACAGTGACGTATTGGTATGTGAGGGATGAGCGGGCGGGCGGTGAGACGGGACTGCCGCAGCCCGAGGTGCAGTACGTCTACGACCTCGAGCTGCCTCTGGACGTCATCCCCAGGCCGGGAGACGACGAGGTCGAGGAGTTTTATCTGTGGAGCGTGGAGGAGGTGCAGGAGGCGATGCGCAAGGGCGAGTTCAAGCCAAACTGCGCGCTGGTGGTGCTTGATTTCTTGGTCAGGCACGGGATTCTGACAGAGGCGAACGAGAGGGACTTTATCGAGATTGTGTCGCGGTTGCACCGGCGGCTGGAGTTTCCTACGCTGTGATGGAGCGGGGCACGGTTGTGAGGTGGAGGCGGTGATTTGTGAGGTGGAGGCGGTGATTTGTGAGGTTGAGGAGGTGATTTGTGAGAGGAGGCGATTTGTGAGAGGAGGCGATTTGTGAGAGGACATGGTTTGTAAGAGGACATGATTTGTGACAGGACATGATTTGTGACAGGACATGATTTGTGACAGGACATGACTTGTGACAGGACATGACTTGTAAGACGACATGGTTTGTGAGATTGAATTGAGATTGAGATCAGGATATCGAGGGTATGCAGACGCCGTAAATAGAGCCCTCCAGATGATAGCAATACCACCGCACAACGCCGCCCATGCTTGCTTCTTTTTATCCCCTACACCTCGAGCTCTAGCTGTGCTTGAGCAGCATGTAGATGTTGTCAATCTTCAGGCCGGTGAGCTTCTTGAAGGGGCCTTCGATGTACAGCAGCAGCCCGCCGAAGCTGGCAAAGTACTTCCTGCAGCAGTGTCAGCGCAAGCCCACCGTCGTCGTCCCAGCGCCACAACTCACAGAGTATCGCCGTCGCCGTCCTCGAAGCGGTAGTTCTTGCCGTAGCACACGTAGTCGTACATGTCCGCCAGGGTCGTGGTGCCCTGCTTGGTCACGTTGCGCCAGCTCGTCTCCTCCTTGGTGCCGTCGAGGTTCAGCGTGGTGGCCAGGACCATCTGCAGCTGCTCGCCCTGGTGGCAGGGGAACAGCTCGTGGTTGATGTCGAGGGTCATGGTGAGCGAGCTGTCCGACGACGTGCCGAAGATGCGCGACACGCGGTCGTAGCGCTCGCTGTTGACCTCGGTGAGGGTGAAGGTCTCCTCGAAGACCTGCGCGTCGGCCATGGCGGGCGGACGTAGAATTCAGAGGGGGCGCAGACACTGTGCAGGGCTGTTGGCGGGTGGGCGTGAAAGTTCAAAGCGCTGCGGAGAGCCTCTCTGCTGGGCGGGCGCTAGACGGGACCTCCGCCGCGCCGCAACTCGTCTCCCGCGCCGCAACTCGTCTCCCGCGTCCTGTCTGTCTCCCGCGTCCTGTCTGTCTCCCGCGACCTGTCTCCCGCGACGCGACGACTGCTCGTCTGCACGTCGGCCGGCGCATCCACGTCCGCGTCTCCCCCCACGTCTGCGTCTCCCCCCACGTCTCCCCCCACGTCTCCCCCGCCCCCCGTCTCATGTCGCAGCCGCTCTCGTTCTTCGCCCTGCTCGACATGGCGCCGCCGTCGCCTGGCATCGACTATGCGCACTCGAGCTCCTGCGGCAGCCCGCTGGCGCTCGACCCGCTCAACCTGCGCAAGCCCGCGACGACGGCGCAGCACAGCCCGCTGTTCAGGCTGCCGGACGACATCTTTGCGTGCGTGCTCGACTACCTGGACCGCGACGAGGCCTGGAGCCTGAAGCGCCTGTGTCGCGGCATGGCCGCGAGCGAGTCGGTCACGCGCCTGCTCTACACGCACCCGATCCAGCTGGCCGACGTGCGCGACCTGCGCCTCGGCGACTGGAAGTACCGTTCCAGCGGCCAGGTGCGCTGGCAAGCGTTCCAGGCGAGCATCGCCGACGCGAACCGTCGCTACGTGCAGAGGCTCGCCGTGTCGCACTGGGCGAGCCTCGACGACTTTCGGTGGATCGAGGCGAACCTGCCCGCGCTCGCCAGCCTCGACCTGTCGGCCATCAAGGACTTTGTCTGGACGCCCGAGGAGACGTGGACCTGGAGCATGCTGGCCGACGCCTGTCCGGCCCTGTTCGCCCGCCTGGACGAGCTCGAGGTCGGCAACTGGGCCGACTACGCGGCCCACTCGCGCATCGAGTACAGCTACTCGTACAACGACTACCGCTTCAAGCAGAAGTTCCGCCTCTCGCGGCGGCGCGGCGGCGGCTCGGTTGCCAAGCACATCTTCCCGCTGTGCACCCAGCTGAAGACGCTGGCCATCCGTGAGCGCTACTCGGGCTTCCAGTGAGTCGGCCCCCGCCCCTCCCGGGGCGGCACGAGCGCCTAGCTAATGCAGCTGCAGCACCTGGAACGAGTGGGAGGTCCACCAGCGCGTGTGCTGCCTCGTCGACGGCGTGCAGAGCAACTGCCCGGCCAGCTTGACGAAGCTCAAGGTGCACGACTACGCCCCGTACCGGTCGCTCTTCTCCTCGGACGCCACCGACTGGCGGCAGCTCACCGACGTCGAGATTGGGCTGTACTCGTGGCTGGAAGACCGGCGCGAGCGCGATGTCATCGGACCCATTCCCTACCGGATAACACCGGGGCATCACCACCGCGACGAAGAGGAGGCGTTTGACGACAAGAGCTTCGACGTGTGCACGCGCAACCACATGACGCTCGGTGAACACGTCGTCAAAGGAGTCGGCGCCACGTTTGAGGACCTGCTACGAAGCCTGCGGACCATCTCGAACAAGTACCCAAACATCAACATCAAACCCATGCGCAACCTCGAGAACATTACTCTCCACCCGTTCCACCTCGTCAACGTCATGTCGCGCCGCCTGCCGTTTGGCCTCGGCAACGTCCCGGCCGACAACACGGCGCCAGCCGATCCCTGCTCCAGCGTCAATGTCCAGGAAGCCATCCGCTGGCTGCTCGGCAAGTGCGACTGGAAGCCGATCCTCGCCTGGGACTCGATCATGTGCGACGTCTTCCCCGCGAACCTGGAGCCGAGCAGGCCCTTTGTCGCCAAGCCCAAGGTCATAAGCCGCATCGCCACCATGGTGCGCACGTTGCGCGGCCTCGACATCCCCATCCGCATCTCCATTGGCGACCGCACCAACACATCAACCTCGTGCTCGCCCGACGGCAGCCTGTACTTTGGCGACTACAAGACCTTCTCCGGCACGGGGGATGACAAGGTCGAGCAGCTCCTGCCCACCCAGGCGGCTTTCAATCTGAGCCCCATTGCCCACCTCGTCGACGAACTCACCATCCAGTACCCCGTCGACGTCCCCGGCGTCGGCGGCTACCTGCGCGCCCTCCGTCGGCGATCGCCCGCGGAAAAGGCCCTCATGGACCGCGAGATGACGGGCTGGCGTCGCTTCTGGGCGCGCTACGCGCGGCAGTTCACCAACCTGAAGAAGCTCACGGTCAACGTCCCAAAGGACATGTACGACGACTGGGCGCGCACCGCGCTGCCCGCGCTGCTCGCCGACCCGCACTGGGACGTGCTGGAGACCACAAACGGCCACGCCGACGCGGGCTTCCTGGCCAACTACTTGCCCTATTCGTCCTGGCGCTATGGCTGGCGCAACAAGGGCCGCATGCGCTTCGTCCAGCGCGTCTTCTTCCGCCGCCACGCCGCCCCGCTCGAGCTCGCCGACCCGCACGCCGGCTTGGACGAGCTGGCCCGCGAGCAGCGGTACATCTCCGCCGCTGACATTGCCGACCAGGACCACACCGGACACCGCTTTTGGGCCGGCGAGCAGGACAAGCAAGAGACGAAGCCTGACGAGACGCCCGAGACAAAGGCCGACGACAGGGAAAAGGACGCGGGCGCGGCAAACAGCAAACGCAAAGCCGCCGCCGCCGACGACGACGACGACGAAATCACGGGCGAGGCGAGCAAGAAACCCCGCCTCGACGCTGCCACGCAGAGCGCCTGAGTAGCCGCTCGCCGCGCAATGGTATTGACACGGCTGTATGATGATAACGACTGCGGCGTTTGGGTTTTTGGGACGGTCATGGGCATGATGGTGTTTAGCATGTGAGAATTCATTGTGTTTGTTGTGCGATTTGTTCCATCACGCAATGGATCTGCCATGCTTGTGACATGTTCGCAGTGACCGCGCCTAACGTCAGTGGTCACGAGGAAGCAGCAGTGCAACGTCGCAGGTCTTCATGTTTGCATTCATCATACAGTATCCCCATCGTATTCTCCATACAGCCCGGTCAAGTCCATACGGCCCGGTCAAGATCCTCACATCGACGCCCACTCGACCGAGAATGCGCGAACACTGTCCTCCTTGGGCGCCTTGGGGTCCTCTCCACCAACCATGTACGCCTTCTTCGTCCCTGTACCCAGGCGACCTCCACCTACCATGTCCAACAGATCAAACTTCTCGTCCCAACCCAGCCCCGTAGCAAGGAAGTGGCTGTGGTACCGCAGCGGGTCGCCGGGGTAGACAGAGTAGTTGCAGCCGAAGCGGAGACCAGGCATGAAGAAGTAGCCGCGTGAGTGCAGGAAGCGGAAGAGCGGGTAGCTCTTGGGGACTACTGGGAGAGGTCGGGAGACATCTTGTGCTGGGCTTGGCAAGGGCGGTGTGGATGTGGTGGGTGTGATGTACTGGCGTTGAGCAAAGACACTCTTGGAGGCTTTCTTGGCGGCAGGTGCGGATGCCGCTGGCTCGGCGTCGAAGAGCAAGGTTGACGCGGTGGACGGGTCGACCTCTTGTGGGTCTCCTGTTGGCTTGGAGGCCTCGTCGACGACCATGGGTGGAGCGACTTCTCGCAAGTCGACCTCCTCAGGATCGTCGGCAGTAACGGCCTTGAACTCCTGTTGCATAGCCTCTTCGAGCTTCACTTCCACAGACTCTGCGTCTTCCTCTTTTGCTAAGAGGGGCATGGCCTCTTCGACTTCTGCCTTGTCGATCTTGGCTTGAGCCGGGCCAAGCTCCAAGAAGGACGAGCCTTTCATGATTGAACCAAGATCAGAAAAGGACGAGCTGAGGACAGAGGTCTGCGGCGACAATGTTGTTACTCGGCTATCCGATGCAGCTGCGGCAGGCTCTGATTCTGCTGATGATGGAAGAGAGTTCAGGAACGAAGACCCCTTCATGATAGAACCCAAGTCGACGAAAGACGACCCTAGCTCAGAAGCGGCAGTGCTCGATGACTCTGAAGGTGCCGACGGCACTGAAACCGACGATGATGTGTCGAGACCATAGCCAGCAGAGCCAGGTCGCTCTACATGCACTGTAGCGTCAGATGTGGTGCTGTCAGCTATGCTGGGTGCTGTTGTCGTGCTCTCGATGGCCGCAGTGCTATCCGCGACGTTCGGGGCAGTCTCAGTCTCGACAGTCGACTTCAAGCCTTTCTTCTTCAAGGCAGCATCCTTCTTCTTCTCTTGCGCGGCCATGTTCTCTCGCGCAGCCTCAGTACCCTGGCGGTCCATCTCGGCCAGGTACTTGAGCCTGTCGACACGGCTCATCTCTTGAAACCCCTGACGATGTGTCTCAACATCATCAACGATGTGCGCATGTCCTCCCTCTACAAGCACTCGTGCCTCCTCAGGCATGAGCTCGAGTGGAACGCCTAGGAAGACGTTTTGCTGCGAGAGGTTTGGAATTGTGCCGACTAGAACGCCACAGATGTTGTGGCTGCGGCGAACGTGCGAGATCACATCGACATCGAATAGGAGGTATCGCCCTGCGACGCAGGAGATAGGGAAGGGTTCGGAAACTTCTACTGGAGCCGGGGCTGGCGCCATAGTGTCGATCTAGAGCGAGAGCTGTTAGCTTTGCTGCTTGGCAGGAAGGTGTTTGTTGTCAAGGTATCAGGCAGAAGGTTGGATCATAGTGTGAATACAATAATTTGAGTCATCAAGTCCCATCTTGTGGGATTCAGGGGATTGACAGATATTATGGTGTTAATCATAAGAGCCTCGGGGAAGATCCCGGCTGTGGAAATTGCGGAGACTGGCTTACCTTCACTTGTGTGGTTTCATCGTGGTGGTCGATTGATGAGAAGAGCTTGAGGTAACAAACGGAATTTTGTAGTTGGCGGCTTAGCGCCTGGCCCAAGCGCAGCGAACCCCACCCCGGATATGCGACGCGTTCCTGCGTCCAAACAGTCGACCAAAACAGATCAACATGTCGACGAACCGTGCTTCGACCGCAAATGGCGCGCAGCCTGCGCCGGAAAAGACATACTTCGAACAGCAGCGCGAAATGCTGGTGGGCGAAATCGCTCAGGTAAATCCACCGCCCCGCATCTCCTCACACACACCGCTGCACACCGCCGTGCGCTCAACGAAACACGAGACTGACCGAGCTTCCAGAGTCTCGAACTGGTCCTTCAAAACATCAACAAGCTGAATCGCTCCCTCGAAGAGATCACTCAAGTCGGCACCGAGTTTGCACCCGTCGAATCGCTGTGGAGCCACTTTGAGAATGTCATGGCCAAGAATCCGAATGAGGGCGAGGAGGGCGCACCGGAGGGGCAAACAGAGCACGAAGGGGCTACTGAAGTGACAGAGCATGAGAAGTGAGCAGATATCATGCTGAATCGGTGAAAAAGTCGTTGTCAATCGGTCGCTGCCAGTCCAGATGTGGACATCGAGAAGGCTGCCAAAGTCGTGACGGTCAAGGTCTTGCCGCAAACGATCCGGCCATGTTGAAGATGTCAGTCGAGCCGTGGGGGAAGTCAAGGAAGCAGGAGTAGAGCTGGTTCGAGGATCAGGAAGAATACCGGACCAGGAGACTCGACAGGAGAGGCAGGGTTGGCTGACGAAGCTGCACGACACATCTGGCGCGGAGGCGAGGGTTGATTGGTGAAGTCCTGTGGATACATGTGAAGAAGGATGTATTCTGTGGACAGGTCTAGATTTATTCGAATGGATAGCATGTACGTTGACAGGTCACTGCGCAGGCAGGGTACTGAAGTCTGTGAAGATGTTTAGAATTTATTCCTATGCGTGGCGGTACGCGCTCGCCCAACTAAATACCGAATACAGATACAGAAGGTGAAATGCACACGTAGACTATTCAGGTCGAAGCCCAGTCGTACAGGTTATCGCTCAAAAACAGCCAGAAACGCCGTCAATCATATACGTGTAGCAGGCTACAGAAGTGGTAGCAGCGGCTGACCAGCATGGCGGTGGGAGCTGCTACCAGTATGCAAAAAGGGATCGAAGGCGTGATGAGATGGGCATTAAGCATCTTGATCGTGTCGTCCAGCGTCGTGTGTCGAGATAGCCGTTCCTTCGATTGCAGAGGGCACGTTTAGAGGATCGTGCACCCCTTACTGCCCTTCTTCTTCTTCTTAGGTAGGTCTGACATGGTCGAGATGGTCCGGTGATGCCCAGCTGCGGCGGGTCTGGAGGAGGTATCTGTGCGCTTATCTGCTGGCGTCTTCCACTCGTCGCCAACGGCAATTGTAACAGCAGTGTCAAAAATGTCCTCGACACCATCCTGCTCTTTACTACTGCACTCCATGTACATAGCACCCATCTTCTTGGCGACGGCACGACCCTGCTCGGGTGTCACTGGTGTGAGACCTTGGGTCTTGAGAAGCTCAATGCAGTTCTGCTTGTTACGCAGATCTGACTTGAGACCAAGCAGCATCAACGGCGTTGTGGGGCAGAAGTGGAGGACTTCGGGGTACCACTTAGACGAGTTAGTGTGTGCGACTAAAAGTTGGAAGTGGGCAGCGTACCTTGTCCATGACGTTTTCGAGCGAGTTGGGGCAGTCGATGGCGAAACAAACAAAGATGATGTCGGTCTCTGGGTAGGAGAGCGGTCGCAGGCGGTCGTACTCTTCTTGCCCAGCAGTGTCCCACAAAGCGAGCTCGACCATCTTGCCCGTTGGCAGATGCGGTGTCTGGGTGATGTAGTTCTCGAATACCGTCGGCACATATTTCTGCGACAGTCAGTGATGGAAGACAGTAAGGGCGCGGTGTCGTGGGTGTACCTCTGGGAAGTTGCCGGAGCTGTAGCTGATCAACAGACATGTCTTTCCGCAGCCGCCGTCGCCAACAACGACCAGCTTTTTCGAGAAGCTCGGCGGCTCGGTGACAGTGGTGTTATTTGTCTGCGAGGTCCCGTATGAGCTGACTGTGCCATTGCTGTTGCGTTCGCTGGGTGTGCGTATGGGTTTGCGGACCGGTGTGATGGACGTAGCGCCTGGGGCTTTTGTGCTCTGCTTGCGGCGCAGGTAGTCGTAGTTTTGCGAGGGTGCGGTAGCCATGACAGGAGTGGGTGGAGGTGTCAACGTTCGATGGTCGCGGGAATGCAGACCGTGGTAACAATGCGGACGGCGGGTTGGGGTGCTGGGGCAGCGTTATGGTAGCGAGGGGCCGAAGCTCATGGGCCGCCGTGTTTATACGCTTGGTTGCCGTCATTCTCCCCGGCAACCACACGGCGCTAGCCGTCTGGTCGCCGTCAACCCCATGTGCGACCCAGCGCACGGCCATCTTGATGTCGCATGCACCGCGAAGCCACCCCGCCCTCTGGCCATGATCGTCCTGTCTGCCCCGAGACACTCTCCCGCCGACTGCTCCCATGTATCCCCAGCATGATGCGCCCGCGAGCGTGGCCCCCAAACTCACAGGCGCTGCGACGTTAGCGCCGGCGCAAAAGGAGAAGCGGCTGGATGCAGGAAACCGGCACCACGACCACTGTGCGTGCAGGCTGTGTGCAGGCTGTGTGCGGTTGAAAGAGACACAAGCTGAGCGCTGAACAGATGCTCGACGACTGCCCAAGTGGCGCAATGACCTGCGCAATCGCCTCATCCCCATAGTGCGCTGGGAGACGCCTTGGCTAGCCTGGATGCAGGACAGCATGCGCTCGCCAGCGCTCGACACCTACTTTGCCTACACAGCGAACCTTGGGACACATACCTTCTTCATGGTCTTCCTGCCAGTCCAGTTCTGGTGCGGCTATACAAGCCTTGGGCGAGCGTACGTCAGCGACCTGTCACCGAAACCTTGAAGCTAGCGCGACATCTGACATGTGCAGCACCGTCTTCATGCTGGCAGCTGGAATCTACTGGAGCGGGTTCCTGAAGGACATGCTATGTCTGCCTCGCCCGCTATCGCCGCCCCTCGCTCGTATCTCCATGTCCGGCTCAGCAGCGCTCGAGTACGGCTTTCCCTCCTCGCACTCGACGAACGCTGTCTCCGTTACATTCTATGCGATATATATGATACGACAATCAGACGAGTACAGCTCTACGGTCAACATTGGTTTGCAGGCGCTGTTTTACCTCTACGCGGTCTCCATCATAGTTGGACGGCTGTATTGTGGTATGCACGGCTTTCTTGATGTCCTGGTTGGAAGCACACTTGGCGCACTCATAACCGTATTCCAGTTGGTCTTCAGCGACTGGATTGACTCGTGGATTTTCAGCGGCACTTACAAGGATCTCATCATAGCTACCTTGGTCGTTTTCGTCCTAGTTCGAATTCACCCCGAGCCTGCTGACGACTGCCCATGCTTTGACGACAGTGTTGCTTTCTCTGGTGTCGTCGTTGGCATCAATATCGGCGCATGGCACTATGCGCAATCAGGGTTCGCGGTTAACGACCTCTACCCGTCAACGGTGCCCTTCGAGCTTGCGCAGCTGGGGTTGCCCAAGGCTATCATACGGACACTGCTTGGTGTCGTCATCATCTTCGTATGGAGGGCAACAGCAAAGCTGACGCTGTTTAAGATTCTACCGCCTTTGTTCAGATTGCTGGAACGAGGTCGCATGAATCTACCCCGTGCCTTCTTCCTCAACGCCTCGTCATACACCTCGATACCCAACATGCGCGACGACGACAACGTCATCCCACCCGCTTCGCAGCTACCGCAGATGCTCAAAAACCTTGCACATCCACGCAAACGATCTGTATCAGTTGGACCGCAATCAGCTTCTGACGCATACGAGACGCTTGCCTACCGCAACCGTCGGCGACGAGAAAGCGTTACCTCAGCTGATGGGACGGTACTCGAGGATCTAGAGTGGTCATCTACGCCGCCATCCCAAGCAGTGGCGCCTGCGGTCGAAAGAGGTCAGCCCCTGCTAGGCACCGGCATGCTGCCTACACCAATGGCTTCTCGAATCCACTCATACGAGCAGATGATGGGCACAGGCAACATCAAAACCCTCGATGGCAAAATGGAAACGCCGCCGGACAGCGATACGGACCTTGCAGGCGATGCCACGCTGAAATCTGAGGAAGAAAACGAGAAACGCGAGCTCTTTATGAAGCTCACGAAGCCACGTGTACGGTACGATGTTGAAGTCGTTACCAAACTGATTGTGTACAGTGGTAAGTGACTGTTTGTGTCGAGTGTTGCCAGCTACTAACTGTTTACAGGCATTGGCTGGTTTGCCGTGGGACTTGATCCCATCATTTTCGAGCTGGTCGGCCTTGGTATCGGCATTCGACCATAACCGTCGTTATTTGTCTTTCTATTCTGGCTTTACATTCATAAGATTACCTTGAATATGTCACAACATACCCGAATGGCTGGTCCTCCTGGGACATGAGAATCTGATACCCTTTCCGCGTTCGTGTCTCCTCTCGCGTTGGGTATGGTTCATTGCTGCCGTCGTGGCCGAACCCTCAAGTCTCACCGAGCGGAAACTTCACGTTTCCCAACGCATACATCTGACCCACAGTAAGGCTCGATCAAGAGTACAGTATTTCGGATCTGGTGTGGGGTCAATACGAATATTAATGTCCGCTAGCGTCTGTGTGGGCCAAATCTCCAGCCCACTTACACCGATACCATCAATGACTGTCGACTTAACAGTCCTCTCTAAACATCTAAGGTTATATATTTTATTAAGGGAACAGATATCATCAACAGTAGTAACAAGCTACAAGGTCCTGTGGTCTAGTGGTATGATTCTCGCTTAGGGTAACTAAGCTTTCTTGCGAGAGGCCCCGCGTTCGAGTCGCGGCAGGACCCATCTTTTTGTGCTCTTAATGTCTTGGTGCAGGGCTGCAGCGGTTGTCTTTTTGCCCAGGGATGTGCTAGAGTCCGAAGGTAATGCCTCAGGAACCATTGAAAATTCGAGTGTGTGTCGTTCTGTGCACATGAATTTAAGGCTCTGTATGAGTCGCTGTGCTTTAAATAGGATAGGATGACAGCAGAGTACTGTGTGTATCTATCTGCTAGGACATTCCGGTAAGACCTTTTAGCAGTTCATAAGAGGTCCTTCTGAGATCAGGATCATATAGGCTTTGTTAACACTTGCAAGTGTTGACTCGAAAGTAACTATGATCGGCGCCACGTTTACTTCTCTAGCTTGTACTTTCTCTGGGTGCAGCTGAAAGCAGTGTGGCGGTTGTGAAGGACTCGTTTGGTATTCTAAAACTCGCCATACTGTTCATTTGCTGCTCAAGAATTGGCTATTTGGGTGTACGTTTGGAAGTTCCCAAACATTTTCTTGAGGTCCATGTTGGACCGTCCCCGATTGTTCGCTCACTACTACTTGCACAAAAAATGATAATGAAACAACACCCACGCTGGATTATCTACCGACTATCGCTAAGCACTTCTGAATTCTGTATCTATATACTGACGGAGTTACAGGGACTGAAGTAGCCTTGTTTTTGGGTTGCAGCGCAGTGCAGTTCGCATCGTCATGTTTACGCAACACCGAACCGACATGCACACAGCTGGAGCTAGAATTGCCCACCTATCCTTTCAGAAGAAATGCGGCAGTTCCAAGGGTCGGCGAATGGGAGGTTTGTAGATGGTGGGTCGCTGCCTGATGTTTCCATCCTGCGGTGATAGATCAAAGTCAGGGTGAGGGTGCGGCACTTGCAGACGCTGATGGTTCATACCTCGAACCCACTGCGCTGCCTATGATCTTTCCTCACACAAACCCAATCTCCACGACTATTCTCAACCATGGCGACGACCGAGCCGATGGACCTGATCGATATCGCAACCCTTCTCAACCACGAGCGAATCAGCAGAGAGCCACACTTTCGACACACCAAGCTCCTTAACATCACACGCCCTGACGAGCATGCGCAACTGCGACGCCTGCAGAGATTTCCTTCGAAGCTACTCAAGAACAATATTCCCAACGGCCACATCTGGAATGTGCTCAAGTACAAGGAAGGCGACGACGAACAGCCCGACCTTCCGAGCAACATGATTGACGAAAGCGCACCTCCACTGTCACCCGTGGCAGATGAGGAGCTTAAGAAATCCTACTATCGAGCAAGGCACCAAGACGCTTGCTTCTCGAGTGTGTAACTTCTGCAGTGCTTCTTCGACCTCTTACCACCAGAAACGCCGCTACGAGTGCGCCATGAGCTTAAAGCCGGCATATGTACCTTCTCTTGTATGACGACAGTTAGTCACAGGTCAGGCGTCAGCGACAAGCTAGTCTATCCGAAGAACAGCACCGCCGTTCTTATCGACAGCCCTGCCATCCCAGACAACTTCCTGCTTGATGGGACGTGAGCGGCTGATGAGTCACGCTGTCATGGGCTCCAATCCTCCACAGAGCAAATTCACTATGTCCTTCCTTACTCTGTCATCTATGCAATTCGGGGACGTAGGTCGTGGATCATGCCAGACGGGCAAGATGCCTTTCGCCATGGACTACGTCTTCGAGTGGGAGCTCCTCAAATAAACTTCAAGTGTGGTGGCTGTGGTGATGCGTGTTTCTGCGATCGAGAGCGTCAGAAGAATATCCGACCTTTTCACAAGCGATACTGCAACAAAGAGCCCATCGGCATGTCTCTCGAGGACATGGAAGAACACTTAGAGTCCAGGATGTGCGCTCTGGATCGTGCAAAGCCCTCGAAGAAGTCCAAAGCCTGAAGTAGCAGTAGGAAAGGTAGTCATGGTGTCACAAAAATTGGTTGAAGACATTGAACAATGTGGAGACTCATAATCGACCTCCAACGTGAAGTCCGTGAATGCCCCACGTTCCCTCCTCCCGCGTCATGATGCATTTGGCCTTGGCAGGAAGCCGCGGCCGAGTCAAAACTTCGCGAACATTGCCCCTCTCACAATAACACCACCCAAGCCTCCATTCGCCCCGCGCACGCATACTCTGACTCTGACTGAGTACTGTCATACAGCTCAGTCGTTCGCCCACATCCCTCGCCTCTCCAACAGTTTTATGCAGCCAGAGTCTCCCAACGAATTCGCAAACACCCGTACACCATCAATCGCTCCCGAAACCCCCTTCCCTACCCTCCAGCATGGACAGCGCCGCGACGATGACCCACAGCCTCCTCTGCAATCTCACCCAGGTGGGTCGCAAGGTAGGTCTGAGTCACCGTCAGTTGGCGACACACGCGACGCGACGCGTTCCGGGACGCCCAGCTCGGATGGCGATGCTGAGACCGAGGGATTGAATGGTCTCAGACAGTCGACGCCTCTGCCGAGGAACAGAATCGACGAATATGAGAAAGCTCTATCAAAGTCAGCTCAAAGGAACCCTGAAGCGCCTCTCTTCGAGGTTATCAAGACTGTCCGAAAGCCCGACGATAAGCGCTCACCAATCGCGCATTTGCCCAACGAGATCTTGATTCATGCCATTGCGCATCTGTCGCCGAATGATCTTGCTGCTGTTGCACTTGTCTCTCGACGCTTCAACGATCTCGTCACGACGCCGCACGCATGGCAAGTAGCCTTCGCCCGTTACTTTCCGGGTCCCGCAGCCCTCGAGGATGCAGCCATCAACGCAAACCTAGAGGACAACGGCGAGATTGTGCGATCTGAGAAGAGGAGGTTCACGCGGCTCACTGCATTGGCATCATGGCGGAGCGAGTACATTCTGCGTACGAGGATGCTGCGCTCCTTGGTCCGCGGCAAGCCCATGCAAGACAACTCGAACCCAACACGCGCTGGTCTGGTGCAGAGCATCCACCCAGTCGTGACCTACGACGCCAAGACGTATACGACGATCAATCACATCCACGCCTCTTTCGGCGCCGGCCTGAACAAGAAGGAGCCAAGGTTCATACATGGTGCTGATGATGTTGGCATGGTCACTGCGAGCGATCCTACAGTCGCGAAGGTGGATCCATGGGGTCAGAGCGACCCCAACTTTTACAGCCAGTTCTCAGAACGCTTTCCTGGAACTGCTGAATGGGGCCTGGGATCTGGTGAGGTTGTTGGGTGTCCAAATGTCATGGATGTATCACAGCCTCACGGTATGATCTATGGTCAGGGCTGTCCAGAAGGTTCCTGCTACTACCGCGCCACTGACGAGATGCGTGGTCGCTTCATCGCTGAGTCTATGGACTTCACGCAGCCCGAGTTTGGAATACCGAAGCTGGGCGTTGATGGTGGAGCTGTATGCTGTGTCTGGATTGCCAAGTCCAACACAATACCCACTCTCTCAGAAGGCACCATTGGTATGATGATGGGCTCATCGGCGGGTGTCGTTACGGCGTGCAGTCTCGGTACCGACGGTGTGAAGGCGTCGTCGCGTCTGCAAAAGGGTGAGCTCACTGCTCGATGGATCCTCAGCCCTGGAGTCCCAATCGTATCCATTGTTGTGGACGATAACTACTCTACGAAACGACAGACCCAGAACCGCATCTGGGCAGTGGCTCTCAATGCGCTTGGTGAGCTGTTCTACCTGACGAAGTTTCCAACTCGCAGCCAAGCTACTACGACCGATATCACGGAGCCTACTGAGTATCTGGCTTGGCTCACTGGACGCAGTGTTTACTGGAGTCTAGTTGAGCCTAGCAGACGTGTCGCACGACCTGACCCGTACAGCGACGCTGAGGTTGACGGGAGCTATTCTCCTCGAACATCCTGGGATGGCATGTGCCTGGGGAAGCAGCAGCTTGCTGCGGAGACTAGGGAAATCCAGCAGTATCTGCGAAAGCCGCCGAAGGAGTTCCGAAAGGCCTGCTTGGGTTGGGACATGCGCAGGCGTCTTGAAGTTGACTTTGCTGGCGATGACGGCAACTATGCAGGCGAAGCCATGGTTGTTTTCGACTGTGGGCTTGACGAAGGCAACAATACTGAAATCACACGCTTTACTCGATGGAGATCGAACGAGAAGGACAAAAGCACCGCCACATCAACTCGTACAGCAACGCCGCAAATCTCCCACGCTCCATCGTTGTTTGGCGGAGCTGGTGCTGCTACGCTAGACCCTGTTCAAGTTCCTCGGCGCAACCGCAGCTCTTCATACATATCGTCCAGTAGCTCACCCGAGCGCGCTAGCCTTGTAGAAGAGTGGCGTTCTTCCAAGCTCAGCTTTGGCGGCTTCAAGAGTACTCGCCTGAACGTGACGGCACTGGACAACTCGACCTTCTCAACGCTCATGCTGTCAGAAGATCCTGCACTCGGATTCTCTACAGCTTCAACAGCTTCATCGCCATGCGCGTCGCCTATGTCAGTCGCAAGCCAGCCATCGTCGCCTGCGGATATTCCTGGTCAGCGAGCTCGCTTCCTGGCAGCAGGTACAAAGAGCGGTGTTGTCTTGATCTGGGACGTAAGATCGCCTGTCTCACGTTCGTCTGAATACCCCAACACCATCGAGCCACTCCGGATCATCTACACAGACTCTCCGGAGATTTCCTCTTTGGCATTGACCTCACTCTACCTCGTTGCGGGTGGCAATGATGGTCTTGTGCAAGCGTGGGATCCGCTTGCCTCGAGCCTGTCGCCCATCACGACTCTCCACTCACGCCACGCTTCTCGTGCTCGAAGACGACTCGTCCAAGCGCAAGCTTCCGCTCAGGGTGTTGGCATCAACATGTTCGCTGCTGGTGCCGTCTTCCTTGACCCGGATCCAACAGTCCTCCGCGGCGCTGTTTCGTTGGGCAATCAGTTCCGTTGGTGGAGCTTCAGTTCATTGGCGGCTGATCAGTACAAGAGCAGCAAGCGCCGCCTGCGCCGAACTGAGCGTGGAGTCAACCATATAAACGAGCGCTTTGTTGGAACAGGGCGCGTCAACCTGAAGGGCTATATCGAGAATGAACAGTTCGAGCTCGAGCGTGACAAGGTCCAGAGACGCAAGCAGGCCGAGCGACAAGCAGCGCGCTATGGCACCGAACTGCTCGAGGACGAAGATGAGGCTCTTGCGTATGCTCTGCTGCTGTCACAGGAGAACGCAGAGGCGGAAGAGAAGAAACGTCGTGAGAGCGAGTTCATTGAGCTTTCTCGACAAGAGACCGTCAAGCCGACACCCAGCAGCAACAACCAGTCTTCCTCACACAATGGTACCGGCTCGAGGGAGGAAGAGCTTGACCCTGATATCGCCGAAGCCATCCGCCTTTCCCTCGCAGAAAGTAACGGTTCAGACTCCTTTCACGACGATCTTTCCGAGCCCTCGCCCTACGACATTCCTATCAAGTACGCCAAGGGCAAGAAGTCTGCTTCGAGCTCACCCTGGAACACTCCAGCCAACAAGGGCAAAGCGAACGGCAGCTCGAGTAACAGCAACGAGCTCAGCGACCTGGAGTTCGCGATGCAGTTGAGTCTTGCGGAGGAGCAGAGTAGGAAGGAGATGGAAGAAGATGACTTCCCGGCGCTGAGCCCGAAGCCTGGGAGTGGAAAGGGGAAGGGTAAGGCGAGGGGGTGGTAGAGTCGCTGATGGGTTGCTGTTCAGTTTTGATTCTTGAGCTCTTTCTAATACCTTTTGCTTCTGAGAATGATCTGTTTCGTTTCCCACAAAGTCTGGCCATGCCTCAGAGCCTTTATAACTCGATCTCCGTTTTGCAAGGTCTGAGTATACCTGCCAAGCCACTTTAATGCATGGTTTGTCTCAATGAGATCACACGTCTCATCTGCTTCTTCTCCTCGCATATCTGACCTCACCTCCCTTACCCAGCAATCTCGCTCCTCTGCGTCATATACTTCCTGCCCTCCTCAGCGAGGCAGCAATGGCTTCACTGGCCACATTTTTAATATGACAGAAATGACAGTCTGCCAAAGAACACATCTCGCTACATCTGCGATGGGGAGGCAGCACGGTATCAAGTTGTGCTAGCCCTGCGAGAAGCGTTGAGGCCGCAGGAGCAGTGGGACATCTCCTCGTACTCACGCGGGGAGAGCAAAAAGAAGGTCGAAGCGGACTTGAAGAGGGGAAATTGTCACTTACGGACTTTGTGGGTGTTCTTGGTGCGACGCGAAGGCTTTGGCAGCTTCGGCACTGTACGAGGGTCTGAGTAGGGCGCGCATTCTCGGGGACAAATTTACAAGACTAAGGTTTTTACAAATGAATTCTCCTGATGAGGTACTGATACCCGAGAAATAGAGTCTCTTTCCCCAGATGGACAGATAGGCGTGTAGCTCTCAAATTAGGCGTATCATGTGCCTACCCCTCTCGGCATTATATCTTCCATACGGCATGTCCACATCGCTCTGCATGAATTCCAAGATAGCAAACTCATCATGCTTGTTCCTCTTGCTCAGCGCCTCGCTGTCCGCCCAAGGGCTCAGTCTTGTGACACCAATGCGCTTGAAGACAGCGGTACCAGCCTTGTGACCAGGCTGATGCTGAACGATTAAACAGGTGAGATACTTGCTCTCCTCAGATGCGACGCGAGGGCCCTTTGCAGCAGGGATGATGTAGACGCGCGAGATGTCGTGATCGAAACCCAGCATCTGGTTGTGAGTGGCGTCTGCTGGGCAGTCGAGGTAAATATTTGTGTGTTCTTCGCTGTCGAGCTCGGGACTTCGATCTACCAGGCGCCAGCCAAAACGCCCCTTGGGCTTGCCGTAGAGTATGGCTTTGCGAAGTTTGCCCCACAGGTCAATATATGTGCCTTTCTCTTGCACAATACCGAAGGGGTTACTGTTGGTTCGGGGCGCGACGGACACTTGTTGAACGTTGATATAAAGGTCTTGATCCGTTATGTCGCCGTACGTTATGCCATGACCTTTTTGTGCATCGACAGCCGCCCACGACCAAGATGGAGCGCGATAGGCCCCGGGAGCTTCAGATACATTCTCAAAGATTTCATCGACTTCTCGCCACAATGGCTCCACCTGCCAGAGCAGTTGGCTCGCTAAGTGCGGCTTCCAAAGGCCAGCAGCGTATTGAGCTGGGGCTCTCTTGGATCCAATTTTGTCAGCCATGAGCTTTGCCATACCTGACAAAGCAATGAGCTTATCCTCTGAGTTTGTGATAGCGGTCTTGGTGTACACTTCCACGATACGACGCCAGAGTTCGAGGGAGTAGATTTTGGGCCTCATGTGCGCGTCTGGTTCCTTGTAGTTGTTCAGACGGATATTGCGCAGACGTGCACCGTCTTCTTTGACTTCAAGTCCTTTCAGCCGCGATTCCTCGATAATGCCTCCAGATGTCAGCTGGAAGTTTGGCATGCCCTCAGGTTGGCCTTCTGCAGCGTCAAAGCCACAACACTCCCAGGCGACCTGGTCATGGCAGAAATGAAGTACTCTTGGCGACATCAGACGTTCTTGCAGTACCCACCCTCTTCGATTTACAGGCGCATTGTCAACTCGATTGGACCAGAATGATGCATCCAGGATGGTGCAGCGTTTCAAGTTTTGTCGCTCAGTCTCGAATCGCGGCGTTGTATCACTGTCCTCGCTCAGGTCGGTACTTGACCTTGCTAAGGTACTGAGGCCAGATCCAAAACGAGAGCGTCTCAAAGCATTGACTGCCCCAAGCTTTATGCTCGAACGTTTGAGGGCCTTGATTCCACTACCGGAGCTTGCCTTTTGAGGGGGGAGGGGTTTGTTGTTCTCTGCAACTTGGTTCCTTGATACCGAATCAAGCTCCAGAATATTCCCCAGCTCTTTATGTAGATGGCGAAGTATCATGGAGATGCACCGTACAAACCAAAATGTGCCCAGGTACATGAGAAATTTTCTTCCCGTTGATGGCACAAGTGGTGCAGGTGCTGCTCGCACAATATTCTCAGGTGGCGGGTGCTTTGGTGGCGGCGGATGCGCACCGGGCAAGCCATCAATGTTAAGCGTGACTTCATCTTCCAGGAGAAGCTCGGGGGTCCTGAACCTGAACAAACCCCCATGACTATCAGAGGCATGCGTAGCCGAGAGATTGAGAAAGGTTTCGCTGTAGACTCTGTCCATAGTCGCAGATTGCTTTAGCCAATCGTCCAACTCGTCCGGCCCCTGTTTGATGCAAAGTGAATCGATCCAGATATAACCAACCTGAGGCAGCCGAGCCGCAAACGTAATGGCATCCTGGAAAGTTTGAGGGAGATCGCCCAGCCTAATCCCATGTCTCATCCTATCAATATTTCGCGATGTCAATCTATGCTCACTTGTCACACCTTGGCCCCAGCAATGGGACAAGGTTACGTAGCGAACATTGTCCGCCGGTCTCTGGAACGGCCAGCCCTCGGTCTCTACCAATTTGATCTTCACATCAGGGGTTTCCAGACACTTATCTCTGCCTTTCGTATTGAACAGATCCGCTTTCTTGAGTGACTTGAGACTGAGCAGTCGTGCTGGATACCACTTTGGAGATTCTTGGCCAACGTATCTGCAGTGGGCCTTGCACTCTCGTGTGCATTTTGCCATCCAGTTCAGAACAAGAGTATAGACCTCGTCTGAAGACGTGTTATCGGAGAGCTGCGTCCTGAAGGGTGGATCGCTAGAGTCTTGTGGACAAAATCAGCACCGAGCTAGAGCCATCTGCAGGGGTCCTTACCATTTTTCTGCAAAACGAACGTCCGTTTACATCGAGTCCGATCGAGGCGCATTTTGAAGTCCAAGCGATAAAGGTCCTTGACTCTTGGGTGATCAAGCACAGAGAGCATTGCCGAGATGTTTAATTGCGTTTCCTTTAGATCTGTAGTCTGTCGCCTCCTGTTCAAGCTGGTTGAACGGGAGCTGTTCCGCGCTGTGTCATTCATAGAAGCGGTTTGTGCCACTGCGCTCCGAGTTGTCGATAGTTCTGTGGTCTTCGCGTCGCTGATGGAGACAGCGTGGGTCGCATCCAATTTAGACTGCAGCTCTTCGTGAAGTACTCGGCAGATACCGCAATTCATATCTGCTGAACGACGCAAGGACATCCGATCAGGGTGGTGAGTGAAGTGCAGGTCATAGGTTCCTTTCCACACCCGGCCATCTTGACCGCGAAGCATACGAAAGCAGACATCGCAAAGCATCTTGACTGGACTTTGTAACGATAGCGACAGGACGTTGGGCTTTCCAACAAAGCGGAAATACTTTCATCAGTACTTGATGCGCGTGCAATGCGGTGGTTGGGAATCGGGAGTTCGTCTTGTCCCGATAGATCCACATACGCAGCTTCTATATTGACCGACCAGGGAGATTCCAGCCATGCGAGTCTTTTGATGACGACTTCGCTATGTTTGTGGCGTGCGTCCTCGCTAGATCGTATCGCAGGATTGGGCCTAACATGGCATCTGGTGGAGGCGAGCTGGGATGTTCAGCCTATAGCGCTGACGTGAGCCTGAGCCCGCACACTTCGGGAAGTAAAGCGGACCGGCCCCCAAGCGTTGGCGCTTACAGTCGTCTCCATATCTTGAGATTTGTGTTCCTTGTATTAATTCCGCCTTGGCGAAGGCCGGTTGCCACCGTCTGGTGTGAGCAGTTTGATCCAAGCATCCCACGTCAACAACTCGAGACTCTTCCGCCTGCAACGAGAATAACAGCAAGACTGCATCGATAAAAGCAAACCCGCGGGTTCTAGGGCGCAAGTCGCAAAAATGGCGACACCGCAGAAATTTACCATGACTGAGTTTCGGCGACCTGTCGATGTGGTGCTTGCCCCTAACATTACAGCGGAGCAATTGGAGAAGTGGCCTGCTTTCAAAACCTGGAGGACTACCTTATGGTCAAATCTGGAACTGCAGTACACAGACTCGGAGCACGACTTCAAGGACGACCCGTATTTGCTGAAATCAGTACTGATTCAATCAGTTGACTGGTTCGGAAGAAGAGTCGGGTTCCTGAAGCTGAAAGCTGTTATTCGTAACTCTAAGGGAACAGAGCTTCCTGGCATCGCATTCTTGCGAGGAGGTAGCGTGGCCATGCTGATGATACTGCGGCCTAAGGATTCCAGGGATGAGCGATGGGTCGTTTTGACAGAGCAGCCACGGGTTCCTGCGGGCAGCCTGAAGTTCGTGGAGATACCTGCTGGCATGATAGACGAGGAAGAGAAGTTCAGTGGGGCCGCTGCGAAGGAGATCTTTGAAGAAACAGGATTCACTTTGCCCGAGTCAGAGTTGGTCGATTTGACGGAGCTGGCGCTGCGTCGCTCTGTGATGTCGGAACCATCGATGAAGAATGCAATGTACCCCAGTCCTGGTGGTTCGGATGAGTTCATGCCAATATTCCTGTGGGAGAAGGTAAGCTGACTCGAACAAGGCACCTCGCCACTACAGCAGATACTGACGCAGGTGTAGGAGTTAGATCGTCAGGAGATTGAAGATCTTCGTGGCAAATTGACCGGTGAGAAACGACAGGGAGAGATGATCACGCTGCGAGTGGTCGGTTACGAGGATCTCTGGCGAGAGGGTGCCAGGGATGCCAAAACATTGGCAGCTTGGGCCTTGTATGAAGGTCTGAACAGAGAGGGAGCCATCAAGCAAGAGCTCGACAGGCGCAAGGAAGAGCTCAATGACACTGTATCGATCGAATACGATGACTCAGGAGAAGGCACTGCTGCAGGCACTCAAGAAGAAGACCTTATCGCCAAAAGACAATGCGACCCAGATGTCGCACATGCAGATTGAACGCTGTGGAGGAGCGCATGACTGTGCTAAAACGCTCGGATATAACTTGAATCAACGAATTAAGATGTTGTGTAGGAGTGTATCACTGTGCTAAAAAGCTTGGATATAACTTGAGTCAGCGAATCACTCCTGTTGAGACTGCTGTGTGTTGACGTTGATGAACTCTGTACACGCCTCTCAGCAAGGAGCGAGCACTCGCGCACGGACCAGCGACTTCCGCTCGATCGCGCCGCATCTCGAACTTTTGACGACCGCGACAGCTCAACGACATCGCCGCCGCCGCCATGCCTGTGCAATTCCTCCGACGACTCGTACGGCCTTCCACTTTCGTGCAGTCGCCTCTGGCTGCTGCGCGCTCGCCTATTACCGCCACACCGCTTCACAATGCCTTCGCGGGCCTCTCCCTCGGCCCTACACCCGCGCCACGAGCCAACAAGTGCACATTGATCCAGGTCCTGCGGCAAGGAAGAATACAGCAGAGGGCGCGAAAGCTGCGATCGCCACAGCTTGCGAACAGACCAGAGTTGAAGGGTGTGTGCTTGAAGGTCGGCACAACGAAGCCCAAGAAGCCCAATTCTGGCGAGAGGAAGATTGCTAGGGTGCGTCTGAGCACGGGAAAGGTCATCACAGCATACATTCCTGGAGAGGGTACGTCTTGGGCAGCATTGGACGATATCAGGGCTGTAGAGCTGACATAAGGGCAGGTCACAATGTACAGCAGCATTCGGTCGTCATGGTACGAGGTGGACGTGCACAGGATTGCCCTGGTGTGAAGTACCATCTCGTCAGAGGAGCTCTGGATCTGGTATGTATTACGTTCATTTGGTCATGGACATGTCTAACAAGACACAGGGTGGTGTGGGTAGCAGGATCACATCGAGGTCGAAGTATGGAACGAAGAAGCCCAAGCCCGCCGCCGCATAAACGAGCTTCATGCGGAAGTGTATATACGTGTAACATATGTTTGGCAACAGGGGCGTTCGAATCGAAAGCGGCCAAGAGCTGCGCTGATACATTTATGCATGACTCTTTCGAAGCCACCCGAGCGATAATACGATAGAGCCGAGTTGTCAGGGATGAGAGAACACTGTCACCCACATGCTGATCCTTCCTAGCTCTGAGAGCGGAGGCCTCATCGACTATTTGAATCGATACGAGGTCACGCGCGAGCTTTCTCACAGCAGCCATACTTCGCTCTGCCGACAGCGACATCTCGAACATGCCAGGGAGCAACTTCAAAGCGGCTTGAAATAGTAACAATAGTCTGGAGTTAAGCGTCAAGACCTGTATGGCCGTTGGAAAGCCACTGCTCAGCTGATTGGCTGGTTCACAACTCAGCTCAACCTCCAATTCAAGGCTACTTCACATTCCAGACGACATACGAACATGCGTGACACGAACTTGCGACATCAGTATTGGGACCCCCTCACTTTGCGCTCGTGACAGCAACTACTCTTCGCATCCCTCGGATCTGTAATGATGTGTACGAGCTCGCGGGAAGACAGAAGCACACGAGAAGAGCATAAAGACGCACACCGCTGAAGCTCCTGCTATGCAGACCATCCAGCCCTCCCAGCCAAACAACTCACCATGCATATCACCGCGCTCCTCCTGAGCTTCTGGTACATCTTGACGCAAGCCACGTCCGGCCCCCGCTGACACGCCCCAGCACTCTCACCCTCGCCATCCCGCCCTACACCCCGCCCTCGTACGAGACCTGCCCGGCCTCCACCGCGGTGACCCGGACCTACAAAACTATCATCCGCACGGTCGTGACCACGACCTCGCTCGCCGCGCGCCACTGCCCGTCGTTCACGACCCGCGTCGACACGCCCGCGCCCTGGTCCTCGTGCGCTTTCAACGCCGCGTCCTGCATCCGCCCGGCGTGTCTGCGGCTCAGCACCATCACGCAGCCGTGCATCACTGATAGCTGCTGCACGCGCACGGCGACGGACACGGTGTTTGCGCCGTGCCCGACCAAGTGTCCGCAGGGGTGTGCGACGAGCTGGACTGTGGCGGAGAGGTGTGCAGGGTCGCTGACGTCGTCGGCCACGTTGACGTCGCAACCGACGAGGCCGTGCTACACGCTGACCGTCAGCGGGACGCAGACCTGTCGCGAGGACACGCTTGGGTGTCCCGCGCCAGACTGCATTGTCTTGAGTACGACTACGGTGCCGCCAGGCACGGTGGACGGGTGCAGTGCCACGCCGACAGCGACGAGGGTGAGGCAGTGCAGCGGGTATTGTCATGGGGAGTGTGGGACGCAGTGGGTGACTGAGACGGCTGCTGCTTGGTGATGAAGGTTTGTTGGGGGTGCGTGTGTTTTGCAGGTGGGGGTTGATTTAGATACGAGCGTACTTGCGCTGTTCTTTGATATCTGGATTTGAGCGTACTTGTGCTGTTGTTTGATGACTGGGTTCACTCGTGCTTTTGGTGGGTGTGGATTAGGTTGGGGGTTCGGACGGTTCTTCGTCGGCGGGTTTCTTCTTCAGCGTCGGGAGTTTGATGGCGAGGATCAGGGTGTTTGCGATGACGAACACGACGATTGCCGAGATGAAAGTGACTTTCAGACTGCGGTCGTAGGCCTCAATGACTTGAGCTTGGTGCTTCGGGTCCAAGTCGATAATGCTTCGAACAGATTTGCGAACTGTGAGGATAATCTGTCGAGATATCAGCAGTGTGTTCAAAGTCAAGAAAACCGATGACCGCGCACCTCGTCTTTGTGTCTTCCGGTGACAAGCGCATTCAGATACGCCGTCAGCGAATTCTGCAAGATCAGACTGCTGAACGAGACACCCATCACAACGCCGAGACTGCGCCACAAGAGCAGTGTGCTGGTCATGACGGCCTGGTCTTCCTGTGTGCTTGTTGCGAGCACGGCAAGGGATGTTGCTGGGAACGACAAACCCTGTCCGACGCTCGACGGGATGAGGAAGACAGTCGCCAGCCACGCGGGGATTCCGTCCCACATGACGCTCAGACACACGCTGCCGACCAACATGGACAACGTGCCGACGACGATGAGCCACTTCATGCGCCCCGTGGCTGTCATGATGAACCCACAGCTCACTCCGCAGATGGTCAGCGCGACGGACGGGCCACCAAGCCGGAATCCAGACACAGAAGCGGACTCGAGCTTGACGGCCTGGAAGTACAGCGGCGCGTTGAAGAGGATGGTGTTTATGCCCAGCGCGGCGAAGAAATTGTTAAACACCAGACTCCCTCGCGGCCGGCTGAACAGCATGGGGAGGGGCATGACGGCGCGCTTGGCGTGCTTTTCAACGTACATCAAGACAGAGCCTGCCACGCCCGCAGCGACAAGCGCGGTGATGACGATCGGGTGTTTCCACGAGTACACGTTGCCGCCGAGATTCAAGCCCAGGATGAGCGCGGCGACGGAGCCCGTGAGCAGCACGGAGCCAGCAATGTCGAAGCCGCGTAGCGCATCGCGGATCCCGAGTCCCGAGCGCGCGTGCAGATTCGGACCCAGGTCTGACGGGGTGGTGAGGAAGGCGTTGATCAGTAGGAGCACGAAGACGGGGATCTGGATCGCGAAGGTCATACGCCAGCCGAGCTTGTCGCATAGGAAGCCACCGAATGCCGCGCCGCAGGCTGAGCCGCCGCCGTAGAACAGGTTGATGTACGCCTGATACGTGCCGCGGACTTGGATGCTGACCAGGTCGTTGGTCATGACGTTGCCCATTGAGAGCACGCCGGCGGCGCCTATGCCGCAGAAGGCACGGGCGGCGATGAAGGAGCCGATGGACTGGGCGAACGCACACCATGCGGTCGTTAGTGATATCAACAGGAGACCCGCGAGGTAGAGTGGTCGGCGGCCAATGGTGTCAGACAGGCGCCCCATAAGCGGCTGGAGGGATGTTGAGGTCAGAAGAAACGCCGTGGAGAGCCACGACGCCGAGTTTGAGGCGTTGAAGTAGGATGTGATGACTGGGTGAGAAGAGGCCATAAGCGTGGAATCGAACATTGCAACCTGACCGTATCAGCATCGCATCAATCGCAAGGCCCATTCTCAGCACAAAGCCCGAGAGCAGATATCGAGCTTACAAAATACCCCATCACGATGCCGCCAAACACGCATCGGAACCGCCAAGGAGGCACACCCTCCAGCAACCCATTCCTCTGGAACTTGACGAGATGCTCAGCCTCCGCGCGCGAGATACTCTTTCCCAGCTCCGGCAACCGCGCGACGTCCTGTGCACCCACGCCGATTTCCTGACTTGCCAGAACATGCTCTTCTGAAATGGGCACAGGGTCCTCTTGGCGCAGTCCCGGCGATGCGAGAAGGGGTGTGCGTTCCGAGGGTTCGGTAGCGGAGGTCGCCTCGGCATTGCGCGGGGAGTGCATGTCGAAGCACGAACGGCACTGCTCGAGACACCAACGACGCGAGTAAAACAGCGACGGATGAATGCGATGTCGGAGAGAAAGCATCGAGCGTCATATGCGCGAGACACCGCTAAAGCAGCGGGCGGCAGCTGTACCGACAGCCTCAGCCCGAAGCGGCCAACGCATCCGAGCTCCGACCGCGTTATTAAACACCGAGCATCGCATATCTTGACGTCTGCCCCAACCCAACTCTAAGCACACGCATCCAGCGCAGCAAGATGAAGACCCCCCTCCGAATAGCAATTCTCCAATGCGACACCCCGCCCCCCCACGTCGTCGAGCTGTACGGCGCGTACGACCGCATCTTCACCACGTTGCTTGAAACAGCCGCATCGGGCCTTGGTTTGAATCCCGAGAAGGACCTCGAGCTGAGCGCCTTTGACGTCGTAACTGCGCAGGAGTACCCAAAAATTGAGGACATTGACGCCGTCTTGATAAGCGGATCCAGTAAGCCCATCACCTCCCCAGCGCCACACACCGCGAAGTGAAGTGCAACACAGCGCGCCATAAAACTGACGACGTAGAACACAACTCATTCGACAACACCCCCTGGATCCTGAAGCTAGTTTCCTTTACAGAAACGCTCCTACAGCAATCCCGGATCCGGATCCTGGGCGTGTGTTTCGGGCACCAGATCCTCGGCCGCGCACTGGGCGCACGCGTCGGCCGCAGCGACGCCGGGTGGGAAATCAGCGTTCTTCCCGTCCAGCTCAGCGCGCGGGGGAAGCAAGTCTTCGGGCAGGACACGCTGGTACGCACCCCCCTTGCCTCCTTGCCCCAATCACGTGACGACGTGACGACACTAACCCGCGACAGGCAATCCACCAAATGCACAAAGACATCGTCTTCAGCACCCCTGCAGGCGTAGAGTCACTAGGCGCCAGCCCGGTGTGTGCGATGCAGGGCATGTATGCTGCGCGGCGGTTGATTTCGGTGCAGGGCCACCCCGAGTTCACCGAGGGGATTGTGAGGCGGCTTGTTGAGATGCGGCACCAGCAGGGGATTTTCGATGAGGAGCAGGCGCGGGATGCGTTGGCGAGGGTGGGGAGGGAGCATGATGGGGTTGTTATTGCGCAGGCGTTTTTGAGGTTTGTTATGGAGGATTAGGGATTGTGTTGCTGATCGATGGGTGTGCGGATTAGATGGGACGTGCGGGTGAGAGCAGTGAGATGCTTGATATGATATCGAAGTATAGCGACACTCATCAACGTTAGTCGTAGAACCGATCGAAACCCCGATCACCAGACCAAGACAGCCAACACCAACACCAACACCAACACCAACATCAACACCAACACCAACACGAACACCAACACCAACACCAAAATCAACACCAACCCCAACACCGAACCCAGATGAACCTTCAGAGCAGCACCCGTCTACCGTGACACCAATTAAACGCCGCGCATATGCAAGACCAAACACATGAATCGTTCTCGCTCACTCGTCCAGACTCCCCATCTTACTCCGCGCCCTCTTCGGACTACTCGCGCGACTCCTTATCCGCTCGCGGCTATCGGTCCGCGACAGCAGTCCGCCGCGGTCAATAGCATTAATGGGCGTCAACCCCAGCGCCTGCCCCGCGGAGACGACATCAGGCTGGCCACCAAAGTAGCCCGGGGCGGGGGGCTCGGTGGTCTGGATCTGCGGCGTAGCCCAGCCGCTGGTGCGACCGACCCTGCTAGCCTCGCTGTCGTCTGAGAAGTGGCGGTCGTCGTCGTCTGAGGAGTCGAGATAGGTCTCCTCGAGCTCGAATTCGTTGGGGGTCAGGCCGGACTCGCCGGCGTCGACGCGCTCGTAGTTCTGCGTGCTGGCGCCGAGGCCGAAGAGTTTCGAGGGCAGGAAGCCGCGGCGCTTGCCCTTGGGCGGGGCATGGGTTCTGCCTGCTTTGCGCTTGAGCAGGGTGGAGAGGTATGAGCGGACGAGGGCGCGCTTCTCCTTGCCTAGGATGATGCTGATGATGACGACGAGGATGACGAGGAACACGAGCAGCGCAGGGATGCGGCTGGGGTACTCGACGAACAAGCGGTGCCAGTTGTCGCCGTCCAGCGGGTCGTGCTGCCACGGGAGGTAGTTGCCCCCGGGGTACTGGAAGTCCTTTGGTATACCGGGTTCGTTTGCGCCGAAGCCGACGGCCAGGGCTTTGTCGTCCGGCGGGGGAATCTCGGAGGCGGCGTAGAGCACCATCTTGCCGAGCGTCCAGGATACCTCTACGTCGTTGATCTTGTTGACGGCTTGGAAGGGGTCGAGAAAGCCCTTTTCTCTTGCGGAATCGAGGGCGGCTTTGGTGGTGTTTGTGGAGGGGAGCGGCTCGATGCCGACGCGTGGGACACCGATGCCGTCGTGTAGCATGTTGATGATCCAGGAGGCTTTGAAGCAGACTTCGCGGGCCTTTTCCTCGTCGACCTTCTTGCCCCACTTGCCCTTGTCGATGCCCTTTTGTATGTGTTTCCAGTCCTGGTTGCAGAAGTCGCTGACGCGCTCTTGGTACGTCTTGAAGTCGTAGGCTTTGTCTTTGTGCTTGCCCTCGAACATGTCGTGGGTTGTGTGCCAGTACTCGGATACACCAACGAAATGGTTGACCTGGAAGTCGATGGCGGGGACGTGCTGCCCGTTCACCAGACACGGCTCGTCCAGACACTCCCTCTCCTTCTCCAGCAGCGGGAAGGTCTGGTGCAAACACTCCTGAAACTTTCCGGTTCCGTGTAGCTTGGCGGCGGCGGGCGTCTCTTCGTCGTCGTCGTCGTCGTCGTCGTCGTTGTCGGACTCCATCTCGACGAACTTGCCCTCTTTTGTGACGTCGACTTCCAGCCCAGCAGGCAGGCACGGATCGGGGAGCTCTTTGGACGAGGTCGCGTCGAGGAGGGCCTTGACGTAGCGCTGGCGTGCCTGGTTGACGCCAAAGCCCAGCCAGGTCGTCACGAACACCCTGTACTCCAGCGGCGTGCCGTCGACAGTGCGCAGGCGCATGAGCGTCAGGTCGTCTGCATGCTTCTCGGCCTCTGTCGCGTTCGGCGCAAACGCAATCTGGGCCGAGGCGCCGCCCATGTCCAGAAAGCCATACGTGGTGTGGCCGTTGCCGTGGTCGTGGCGCTGCGGCTCGTCGAAGCCGCCCAGCAGGTAGTTGGCCGCGATCCAGCCGTACAGGCCCTCTGTCTCGCCCGGGATGACCTGCACGTGGAGGCCGCAGTCGGGCAGCTGGAAGCGCGTGTTCCTGTGCACGTAGTCGCAGACCTCGCGCAGCACGTCGCTGCGCTGCACGGACGGCAGGATGCGCATGCCGGCCGTCGCGAGCAGGAACAGCGGCGTGTCGGCGACGGCGTCGGCCGGGATGTGCTTGAGCGCGTGGCTGAGCAGCTTGTCGAGGTGGTCGGGCCCGACATGGTGCGGGTGGTCGCCGAAAGTCGAGATGCCCGGGTGGATCTTCTTGGTCCACTTCTTGTCCGTCTCGATGACGGGCAGGGCGCGCAGCTGGGCGTCGGTTGCGCCTTTGCGGGCGGCGTCGCTGTTCAGCCAGCGGTACACGTGGACGCGCGTCCCCTTTGCGCCGTTAGCAGCGGCCGCCGAAGCCGTGGGAGATGTGTGTGAGGTGTGCGTACAGAGGACCCGGCGTCGAGGACCACGCCATATCGCCCTACAGCCTACTTGTCAGCACGCTGTGGAATGCGGGGCGCGAGCGTTGCCTACACTTTGCCATGGTGCAGCGCAGGGGTCCAGAGCGCAGTTGGCGGTCATGCAGTAGGCCGGCTATTCACTATCTTTATTGTCGTGCAAGCCGGAGCGCGGCGCGGCCGGTGCAGGCCAAGGGGACGTAGGAAGAAAGCGAGCGTCCAACGAGTGTCGTCGAGGGACTGGCTGTGTCGAGGGACTGGCTGTGTCGAGTGGATTGGCTGTCTCGAGGAATTGGCTGTCTCGAGTGGATTGGCTGTCTCGAGGGATTGGCTGTCTCGAGGAACGATCCCACGTCCCACGTTACAAGAAGCGTCGCAATCGCGCCGCTTTCGACCATGCGCCACACCGTTGGATCAGTGGATCGGTCGCCGGCCAGCCCTGCAATTGGCCGGCAGCTTGCACGCTACGTACGTATCCGCAGCGGTTGGTACGAGCCCACCTTTCGCAGCCTTTGCCTGTTCAGATTCGGCTGTGCACGATGCGAGTAGCCATGGTTCGCATCAGCAACAGCACCGCGCCCGTGTCTTGCAGCTGTTCTCGCCCGAGTCGAGCGCAGGGAGAAGAGGCTGCCTCGTACACTGTTGAATGCATCACGCAGGTCCCACGCCGCCACCATGGGTGCGTCCGTGCATGATGCGTCCGTGCACGATGCGTCCGTGCACGGGTGCGTCCGTGCCACCCAGGGACGACGGCCCGGCAGCACAAAGGGCCCTCCGGCACTCCTGGGACACTCCCGCAGCACTCAGGCTGCCGATTGCCGCATTCCATGCGGGTGTGGATGAACAGGTTTTGCACAAGGATCAGCTTTGGACCAGGTATATAAGGTATATGTAAAAGCGGAGACAGACCTCACCCCCATGACAAAGGAGACTTGACACGTCCCGGCGCAGAACAAAGGAAAACGCACGGGAAATTGCAAAACCCAGGGACGCAGCCGAGGCCTCCGTGTACAAATTTCGAAAAGCCATCTCGGAAAGAGTGAGAGGCGACCCAAACGCCGTGGTATGCAGATGCCTAAATGTCCCCCTTCCATCGGTCCCTTCTATGCGTGCGGCACGTCCGCCGTGTGTAGATCAAAGATCGTCATCAATGTCGATGGCGTCTGGGTTCGCGGCGCTCTCTGGCGCAGGCGCAATGTTGCCCTTCAGACCCGTGCTCGCAGCGACAAAGCCAACCGGAGCACGAGCCTGGCGCTCCAGCGCCGCCATGGCATCTTCGCCTGCGGCCTCGTCGTCGGCAGCGGCCTGTGCCTCGGCGTTGCCGCGTGCGACGGCCTGCGACGCGATGAAGTTGACGTCGGTGCTGCGTTGCGTTAGTGCGTGTTCGAGCAAGGGCACACCTCGGGCAGGCAACGTACTTGTACTGCGCCTGCACGCTGCGCTTGATGCGCAGCATCTCCTTGTACGTGTCCTCGTTTCCATGCTGGACCTCGAAGCTCTCCCACTTCTTCCAGAACTCGGGGCTGGTTCGCGGATCGCAGAACTGGCTCGCGTGGCCGTAGATGGCTCTTGCGCGGTCAATCTCTCCCAGTCTGCGCTCCATCTCGGCGAACTTGAGGCACATTTCCTTTGCCTCGGCGTCGGGCAGCGCGGCAATGGCGCGCTCGTAGATGGGGCGCGTCGACGTGAGGCCAAAGTTGGATGCGGACTTGGTGATGTAGAAGTTGAACATGTCCATGCGGTCCTCGTCAGCCACGGCCCGGGTCGCGCGCTCGTAGATGCGCATGGCGTGGCGGGCGAGGCCGCGGTCTTCCTCGAGTGCGCCGTACATGAGGTACAGCACTTTGGCAAACTTGGGTGGACAGCCCTCGACGGCTTGTTCAAACAGGTCGCGCAGGCGCTCCATGCCAATCTTGCGGTCGACGGCTTTGGTGAGGTAAAGATTCCAGATCTCGAATGCGACGGGGTAGCTGAAGAGGTCGAGCCCGCGCTCGTAGACCTTGAAGCAGTCTTCAAAGTAGTTGTTCTCCTCGAGCAGGTTGGCGTAGTTGACGACCGTCTGCGGTGTGGCGATGCGCAGCTCGAATATCCGCTCGTAGATCTTCTTGGTCTCCTCCAGCGTGCCGACGCTTTCGACGAGGTCGACGTAGAAGCTCCACAGCTTCCAGCTCTTGTGCACGCGCTGCTGCGGGGTCAGAGACTCGTCAAAGTAGTCGACGTTGGAGCGCTTTGGCGCCTGCGTGGCCTTGGCCATGATCTCGACGGCCTTGTCAAAGTTTTCGTTGCGCAGCTCCATTTCTGCCCACTCGCACCACATCTCGGCGAGCTCGGCAACCGACTTGAACGGCACCTTGACGGCCTTCTCCATGATGGCGCGGGCGTTGTGCAGGCTGCCGCCGGCCTCGTACCACTTGGCGTAGTTGGCCCACAGCTCGTGGAACTTGCCCACTGCCTTCTTCGGGTGGATCGCCGCGATGGCGTCCGTGTACGTCTGGACGGCTTCTTTCTGGTTGTCGCCCCACAGGGCCACGCGCTTCTCCCACTCGATGACGTTGTGCGGGTTCTGCCGCAGCAGGACGTCGTTGAGCAGAAAGGGCCTCCGCTGCATCAACGACTCGAACCGAACCAGCCGAATGTCCAGGTCGGCGTCGGCGGCAGCGTCCACTTTGCCCTTGTCGGACCGGCCCGCTGCCTCGTTCATCTTGATGCCAATCATCGTCTCCTCTGCCTCGACGTACGTGTCAAAGACCATGGAGAAGTCCCGCACGGTCATGACGGTGGTGATGGCGTCCTCGAAGACATCGCGCGCCTTCTCGTACTCGCCCCTGTGCATCCAGTACCGCGCGAGGCCGACCCAGAGCACGCCGCGCTGGTCGGGGAACTGGGCGATGCCGCTGTGGATGATCTTCTCAACGTCGATGCCGCTGTCGTCGCTGGTGTCGATCTCTGTAGCGTGGTCGATCAGGAGCTCAATCATCTCCGTCCACAGCTGAAAGGGCCCCTTGGCCTCCTTGCTCTTGAAGCGCGGGTTGTTGAGGACGTCCATGTACTTGCTCACGGCCTCGGTGTACTTGCGCATGTCCTTGAGCAGGTCGATAAAGTCCTCGGCGTCGTCGGGGTGGATCTGCATGTACCGGCGCCATATGCGCACCGCCGTCTCGCCAGACGCCGAACTCGCAAACGGGCGGTACAGGGCCCAGATGCGGCCGTGCTGCGTCAGCGGCAGCGCCCGCAGGGCGCGGTCGAAAGTGCGGCGCGTCGTCGTGACGAGGGGCTGCTGCATCAGGAACGCCAGGTACATCTCCCAGATGCGCGGCATCTTGTTCAGCAGCACCAGCGCGCGCTCAAACAGCGAATTGACCTTGAGGAAGTGCGGGGCGAAGCTGGCCGGGTTCTTGCTGGCGAGGTGTCGGGTGCGCAGCTCGAGGTACAGCTTCCACAGCTTGAACGAGCGCGGCAGCGTGGACACGGCGCGCTCCAGCACAAAGGCCTGCTCGAGCATGCTGCCGCGGCTGCGCTTGAACCCGTAGTAGTCGAGCCACGGCTTGGTGCTGCCCGGGTTGCGCTGCACGTCCTGCTCGTACGCGACGTCGTGGTCGCCGATCAGAAAGAGGTCCGCAGCGCCGGCGCGCTCCATCTTGCGCCGGCTGGCCGTTGTGAGGAGCTGGGCGGGCATTGCGGCGCCAGGGCGGGCGGTCGAGGGCCGCTGGTGGGCGTGCGAGGCGGCGGCTGGGGACGTCGTCGGGTCGGATGGGCGGCGTGCAGACAAAGTTCTGAGGTTGCGGAGCAGACTGCTGGTTGCTGCAGCTCCACGCCCAATCACCGCCCGCGACTCGGCTCCACCGGCCAGCCGCCGTGACGTCTCGCCGCACGACACGGCCGTCCTGCACCGCGCACGCTGGAGCTTGTCCACACCCGCCGACCCTCTCGCGCCCCCCCACAGGCTCTACCCACACGCCTTATACACGCCACAGCTCGCAGCAATGTCTGGCAGCGGGGTCCGTCTCCCACCCGGCCATACAGCGACACACGCCCGCTAACGTCGCGCGCAGGCCAGAGAAGCCGTCTTCCCCACGCGCCAGTCGCTGGGGCTGATGAAGACGAAGCTCAAGGCCGCACAGCAGGGCCACGACCTGCTGAAGCGCAAGAGCGAAGCCCTGACAAAGTACGCCCTGACGGCTCTCTCCCTCTCTCTCTCCCTCTCTCTCTCCCTCTCTCTCTCCCTCTCTCTCTCCCTCTCTCTCTCTTTCTCTCTCTCTTTCTCTCTCTCTTTCTCTCTCTCTTTCTCTCTCTCTCCTTCTCTCTCTCTTTCTCTCTCTCTCCTTCTCTCTCTACCTCTCTCTCTCTCCCTCTCCCTCTTTCCTTCTCTCTCTCCCTCTCTCTCTCTCTCTCCCTCTCTCCCTCTCTGCGGAACCCTGAACGCTGACAGACTACGTGCAGACGCTTCCGAGGTGCGCGCCCGCCGTCCCCTCCCACCCTCTGCCCCTGCTGAACGCCCCAGAAATCACACGCCGCATCGACGAGGCCAAGCGCAAGATGGGCCGCGTCATGCAGGTCGCCGCCTTCTCGCTCGCCGAAGTCTCGTACGCCGTCGGCGGCGACATTGGCTACCAGATCCAGGAGTCGGCCAAGCAGGCCCGTTTCCGCGTGCGCACCAAGCAGGAGAACGTCTCCGGTGTGTTCCTGCCGCAGTTTGAGAGCTACACCGTCGACGCCAACAACGACTTTGCCCTGACGGGCCTGGGCAAGGGCGGCCAGCAGATCCAGCGCTGCAGGGAGACGTATGCGCGCGCCGTCGAGACCCTGGTCGAGCTGGCCAGTCTGCAGACGGCCTTTGTCATCCTGGACGAGGTCATCAAGGTCGTCAACCGCCGCGTCAACGCCATGTACGTCCGTCTGCTCTCGTTGATGAGCCGTTGCTGACCAGCGCACCAGCGAGCACGTCATCATCCCCCGCACCGAGAACACGATCAAGTACATCAACTCGGAGCTCGACGAGCTGGACCGCGAGGAGTTTTACCGCCTGAAGAAGGTCTCGGCGAAGAAGAAGGGCGACGCCGCCGCCGAGGAGGCCATACGGCAGGAGAAGAAGGCCGCCGAGGCCGCCAAAGAGGAGGGCCAGCCGCAGAAAGCAGCAGACAAGGCCACCGACAGCAAAGACATGCTGGGTGACGACGACAACCAGGACGTCATCTTCTAGCAGTCTAGCGTGGCACATGACAACAGCGACCGTTTTGCAGATATCATAGACGTGACAACGCGACCGTTTTGCACATGTCACAGACGTGACAACAGCGACCGTTTTGCA